GACTGTCAGCTGATTTCTCAAAAGAAATCTTGTAGGCAAGAAGGGCCTGGAAAGAAGTATTCCAAGTCATGAAAGGCAAGGACCTATGTGCCAGATGACGCTATCCAGCCAAGCTGTCATTTAGAATGGAAGGGCAGATAAAGTGCTTCTCAGATAAGGTCAAGTTCAAGAAGTTCATCATCACCCAGCCCTTACTATATGAAATGTTAAAGGGACTCATCTAAGAAACACAAGATCAAAAATATGAACAGTAAAACACAATAAACTCATAGTTAATAACAACAGAACCTAAAAACAAAAACAAAGCAAATAACTGAAACAGGAACAGAATCAGAGAAATGGAGATCACATGGAGGGTTATCAGTGGGGGAGTGGGAGGAGGAGAGAGGAGGAAAAGGTACAGAGAGTAAGTAGCATAAATGGTAGGTAGAAAATAGACGGGGAGGTTAAGAATAGTATGGAAACTGTAGAAGCCAAAAAACTTACATATATGACCCATGGACATGAACTAAAGTGGGGGGAATGTGGGTGGGAGGGGGTGTGCAGGGTGGAGGGGAGTAAAGGGGGGAAAATGGGACAACTGTAATAGCATAATCAATAAAATACACTTAAAAAAGAAAAAACTAAGTTAATGGGTATATTTCAATATTTAGCTTTTCTTTCATAATTTTCATAGTTCTTTGGTGTCTGCTATAAAATGAACTAGTAAAATTTTCAGAACTTTGCAATAACTTTATCTGGTTTTGTTCACCTTTTGTTCAGCTATGAAGCCTAGAGGCTGTGGTTTTACCACACATAATATCCTCACATTTTGGGTGAATTGTTTCTATTTACTGTATTTTGCAGTGTATAATGCATACTTTGTTGCCCACATTTTTTAGGGAAAAATAAGGATGCGTATTATACATGGAATACCTTGTACCTGTTCTTGCGTTTTGTACACATTTGTTATATAAAACTTCTTGTTCCATAATATGCCCAAAAATAAATGCTAAAATTCCTTTATAATACAAAAAAAAACACAATTATCTTAACATAAATAAAAAGTTGAATTAAGAAGTTAAGAGACTTCTTCCCCTGGGAGCCTGGGCCAGAAACCCGGGTGCACAGTATGCATGCGCGCACACCACGCCCGGCAGGACACGGCGAGGCGCTGAAAGTGATCACGCAGGACTGGCAACACACACGCGCAGCAGGCCAGGTGTCACAGCACATCAGGGCTTCCAGGCAAGATTGAGAAAACCCCTCAAACTACAGGAGTCAACACTCTACAGATAAAGAAACTGGGTCCCCAGTGATGTTAATAACAGTTTGCACAATTGTAATGGCAACTTCCAAATGCGTCTTCAGGTCCCAGCACAGGAGGCCGCACCTGCGCAGAACACTTCCGGCCCACACAGTGCAGGAGTGGGGGGTGGGGCGGGGGGGGGCACGGGGAGGCAACTCGGACACCCGGCCTCCAGGCTCCCCCACCGCCGTGCTGAGCCGCCTCTCACCCAGGGGCGGGCCGCAGACACAGCAAAGAGCCCTGCTAATAAGGTTAGAGGCGCACTAAGGTTAGAGACCGCACGTACAACCACAGAGCCCTCGTTTCACATGTTTAATTGAAATGACAACGAAATAAAAAAGATCAATGACCATGTTAATCACACATTTACTTTCCAAGTATAAAAATATAACCAAAACTTCAAAGTTTCTTTTATGTATTTTCTATAAACTTACACGAGAAAACTTGGCACGAGAAAAATCCCCCAAGCCCAACTGTAAATGACGCCTGTGCTCTAGGAGGAGAACACAGGAACCAGAAGTTCAAGTTTATAAGTAGTAATCTTCATCTCAGCAGAACAGCACACTACGTTTTCCCAATTTATCTCTAGTAAGACAATACAACTCATCACTACAATACAAATTACAGCTAAATTGGCTTAGTCTACACTTAGTCTATTTTTCCACAGTCTTGATAAATATAATACGAGCTAATATTAAGATGTCTTTTATGGCTCAAGTGAAAATTACAATATTTGTTTCTTATCACATATTTAAACAACAAAGGGGACATGAAATGAGTCAGTTTAACCAAAATAAGAAGTGATAGAAAACAAGTGGGATAATTATGGGAAATGAAAGAAACCTCACGCCACAGAAACTGACCTGCACCGCAGTCAGAAACCCCTGACTCAGCCCTTTCTGGCCGCGTGACACACAGAATCACTCGCTCTCTGCGACGGTCCCAGCAAGGGGTGCCCACTGTCCCCAGCACTGCGAACTGGTAACATGAAGTCTGAGGAACGCCAATGTGGAAAGGCTGCTCCAAGCATTTCATCTCAAGTGACTGCGCAGGCACTTAAAAAAACGTCACTAAAAACCTGAGAGCGTGAGAGTCACGTCACTGAGAAAGAGAATTTGACACTGCTTGCCAACCTGCTGACTCTAGGGGACCTGTACCTTTCACTTCTAATTAATCATAAAATTAAAAAAAAAACTGACTAATTTGGTCATTTTAGCCAAATCAAATGCTGACTTAATGGACCACTTAAACATCCAACACAGTCACTGAGCCACACAATGCTAATTACAAGGTAAGACAATGATAAAAAGCCAGATCTGTTAAAAGTACAAATTCATTGAACTATCATATGCCATTTTAAGTACTACCTACTTTTTAGAAGCTCACAAGTCATCACTTAGGAAAAAAAAAATCTTCACTTTTCTTCAAATATCAATGCTAACTAAATATGATTGAGAGCATTTGGGTGAAACATTTAGTTTTTTCCCATCATTGACTGAATACTTCCCAGTGCCATTTGGTAGTTTTATAGAAATACACCCCCCTTAGATTACCAGGGAAAATAACGTGGCAACTGCAGTTATACAATACAAAATAGCACTCACATTTATAAACAAATCTGGAACGTGGAAGGCAGTCAAAAGCATGTCAGGTAATCGAGAGCTGATTTAAAAACTAATCGGTGTTGAGTATGTAGAGAACTGGAGGGCACGACTGAAAACCGTCAGTTCTTGAGGAAGTGTGACAAGACCTTACCTACCACAGACCTTAGTGCTACACGGTGGTGTCCCTGCACCCTCTCCTAACGCTGCGGGAATGCCTCAGATTTGAACTCCCCCGGTTTCCTTCCAGAAACCAGAACAAGACCGTCGGGATACAACTACAACGAACCAGTTCAAAAGGCAGTTTTAAAACTATGTTTGTGTTATGAATTTTACATTCAAAACCAGATCTCCTTCGTTCCGAGGTCAGTAACCCAGCCGGCTGGACTCGAAGGCTTTTCTCAGCAAGGTCGCAGCGTGCAGCGTGCGTACAGATGCCTCACTCCAGCACTGGTACTGGAAAGCAGTAATCAGAAAGGAATTTCTCAGTCCAAGCTTAAGTTACAAAGTACACGAGTGACCTCAAGTCACATGACCCTTCAACTCCTTCACTGACAGCACCTTATAAATCACACCCCGAAAAGCCCACCGGTTTCCACCCACCCCAAACGGCAAGGGCTGCCATGGCCAGAGAGGTGCTCACTGTAGCTTTTCACTTGGAGCCCAGGAACAATCGTGGAAGGTGGGCTGGATCGAGCCGTCTCCATCTCTGCCTTCCCCAAGCTGTTATGACTCAGCTCATCAGTGAGCTAACCAATAAACGTGTAATAAATTAGTAACACGCTAACTAAACCAGAGGACAGGGCTGATACCCCTGAAGGGAGAAGGACTAGCCACACAGAACCAGTGGCTTTTTCAAAGGAAACACTGGTCATTTTTGGCTCTGGAGTCTGGAGTTCACCGACAACTGGAGCAGGGGCGCAGTGACAGTCACCGCCCGACAGGCAGCCCTGTGCCAGTGCGGCGGGACCTCAACTGGACGAACTTGGACGCTTAGAAATACAATGCTCAGGCACTCTTGGTCAGCCTTTCTCAAGTCCAAACAGGGAAAAATGCACGATCCACCTTTCACGTCACCCGGTGCTCAGAACAGCCCTGCGATCAGCACCGTGGAGCTGTTAAGAACTGACCAGAAGTCCCTTTCTGCTAAACACGTGGTGACACCCACCTCTCTTCCTTAAGCAGCGGTTTCCTACAGATTCCCTGTACACAGGGCCCACCACCCACCAGTCTGCGGTAAGGTGCATGGGACTTTTGTCCCTTAGGCAGTGGCGCAGCCGGCCAACTCCTTCGCTCTCAGACTCCTTTTATTCCTTTAAATTTGACACTCATTTAGCAGTATTTTTAAGTTTTTAAAATTTGTTGTTTTCTCCTTAGGTTCACAACAATCTGTCCTGCATCCTTTTTTTAGATTTCACATTATCCCCGTATATTTTTGAAAAGGTTTGGCGTCACTTGCTAAAATCAAATTTTCATCTCCGTGAATATAAATTCAAGTTAATTGAAAAAACCAACTTTGCAATCTAAGAGTTCAAAACCTAACTGACCCACTTTTAGAAACTACCTTCACAAATCACCATTTTATCGTGGCCCTAGGCATACCAAGACACAAAATTCAGAACAGCACAAATAATTAACACCCCCATTATGTGAAGAAAAAACGCTTTAAATGAACTCTAGGTCCGTCTCTTTCTGTACCACCCCGGGACTCTCCCAGACCGAGTCCGTTCGAATGGTTTCCCGTATGCTAAGGCCCACTGCTTGTGAACTAAGGGCTGGCTGAACCGGTACAGGATGTCCCGGACGGTGACCTACCGGGAGCTCTGCTGTAACGTAACTCATCAGAGTGCATATCGTGGGACAGGAGTGGCCCCTTGGACTCACTCAAGCAAATCCAGTTCCCAAAGTGACAGGAAATCCCCACCACAGCGCTCTCCAGCATGGTTCGAGTGCACTCCCCGAGTGGTGTCAGAGCAAGGGCCCCGTACACTCGACTGCTCTAACCCTGCCTTTGTCTCTGACCCTTGGCCAGGCTGGGGGTGAGAAAAAAAAACGATTCTCACCTGTAAGAATTTTTCAAGTTTAATGTGAAATAAAAAAAACAAAACAAATAGAAGTCCACTTTCTTTTAATGTACAAAAATGTATGAGTAGAAACAAAAGCAAGTCAAACATCATCACATACGTTTACACCACTATCTAGTTCTCCATGTCAACTCGACTATCCAAACGCCAGAGAGCAGGTGGCCACCGAGGGGCTGGGAGAGAGATGAAAGAAACCGCCCTTTCCTGCTGCGTCTCTCGTGCGCTGGGCAGGGCTGTGCTCACAGGGACGGCTTCTCTCGCTTCTCCACCGCGCGGGGACTCAGTTGTATATGAAGTTGAACCTGAATTTTAAAAAGAACAACAGTCTTATTAAAAACAGAATTATTTACATAGTTTCTACTGGAAATGATTAAAAAATGTATTTGGACATTTCTACTTCCGCTTGACAACTTGACATTTTTTGGCGTTTTCTACACTAAGAAACACTTTTCTCTCACCTGTTACATCCTATACATTAAATAACAATGCTGCTGAATACTTTCAATAAAAAAGTCTCAGTGTGATTAACTGCCCACTACCAAGTCCCCGAGGGAAGGACGAGTTTCCACACTCCACTGTACTTGACCGCTCGGCACAGCTCCCGACCTGACAGGCAGTCTAAACGCATGAGGAACAGGGCCTCCCTCCACCCCCACCCTGCAGCTTCTGACGATGCGGCCCATCGGCAGACCAGAGCAGAGGAGTGAACAGTGAAGTATGACGAGTGCAACAAAGAAAGACCAATTTTACTCAACTAGCTTTCACAGAAAGCAAAATCACCGCTGGAATTATTTTTAAACTAACATTTATTAAGCACTAACCAGGTGCCTAGCACTAGGACAAGCATTTTGTATGTGTTATTTCACTAATTGCTCATAATTTTATGAAGCAGGGACTACCATCCCCATTTACAGATGAGGACAGCAGAGAGGTGCTGCCACCTGTCCGAGGTCACGCTGCCAGCAGTGCTGCAGGCGGCGACCAGACCCAACCGTGACCGGAGTCCGCACGCCTGACCACCCTGCTGGTTGGCGAGGCCTCGCCATGGCTGGCTCCAAGGAGCTCGACCAGCCTAAGTCAGCATTTCTCATAGCTCTGCCTTAAAAAATATATCAAACTCCATATAAAAATTCAGGACTTAGTCCCACATGCCCCAATTTGGGCCTAAATACAGTAGTTTCCAGAAAGAAAATGTGTTCTACCAGGAGACTGAATCTCCACACTTTCATGTAGACAGCGCCCTTCGTATTCGCCGCACGTGACCGACTACTGTTTTGCCTTCCCTTCTTTAAGTGCAGGCTCCCCCTGTGCTGAGCACCAAATCTGGGAGGAAGAGTCACACAAACACCAGAATGTCATGGCACGTGAGGGCCACTTGCACATGACCTAAGGGTCCACCTACTGCCTTAACTTCCTTAAAGACCTAAATCCCTGAACCGCCCCTTCCCCGGGGGCTCGGAGCACTGCGCATCCGGCCGAGCGGACGAACCGGCCGCAGAGCGCGGCACGCACCTGCTCAGCAGCTGCGGGAGGCTGGAGATGATGGGCCCGTACCCCGGCGCGTTGTCGTACAGCTCGAACAGCGGCGCGGCCACCAGCTTGTAATTTTTAGGGACGGCAAACAACGCTGGAACAAAACAAAACAGGACTCATTTTTGCTAATTCCTTATATAATCACAGCTTCCCCTTCACTTGTAATCATCAACTTTACCTTTGAGGAACGTTTGTGGAAAAAATAACTCCCGTGAATACATGTTGGTTCTGTACTTTAAGCAAAGTCCACAGTGAGAACTTTGGAACCACCCTCTACAGAGATCCGTGCTGTTAACTACCAAGAGCACCATATAAGTTGTGAAAATGAACAACAAGCCTAAAGATGCTACTTTAAAAAAGTCAATTCATCCCTCTCCTACAATTTTCGGTTCATTCCACTGTGAAAATCAATACCAGCAGCTAAACAGTTATGAAAAGTAACGTAGTGCTTAAGGCTCCAGCTAAAGTTAATCCCCCACCCCGTAGTGCATGACTGGTAGGTCTGTGAGAAAAACGAAGGAATTCTGTTTAAACATGGCATGTTTCTGATATTGCAGTAAATCCAAAAATTCAAGGAACCTGAAGAAAAAACAAACAGAGGTATCCTTGAAATTCCCCCACAAATGTCTTCAGATAGCTGCATTCAAAATCAAAGCAACTTACCTTTCTCTTGAAGTTGGACCAAAAACAACTTCTTATGTTCCTTCGGTTTTGTAATATGTGCAGGAATGTACGGATACTGCAACGACAAGAGAGAGTAAGTTCTCGTTACCAAGGCGTCCCGCACGCCGCCACGCCTCTGCTTACCAGCTCCCCATTTCGGACCTCAGGCCCGAATGCCGTCCCTCTGAGACCCAGTCCCCCGTAACGCAACGCAGCTCTGCTCTAACGTGTATCCTGTGACTTTGCTTCATCCCACGCTGCCCCCCCCGCCGGCACAGTGCGAACTGCTGAGCGCAGCAGAATCCGATCCGGCCTTCTACTTACCAACAAAGAAATGCTTCAGTTAACACAAAACAATGCCCTATTCAACCATTCTAGACAAACAGGTATACAAAAGACTTATGTACAGCTTAAGAGATTTATAACATGATAAAGTCTGATATTAAATAGTGCTTTTAAAAAAGTTTTTGTTTTATTTTTAAAGTATTGTTACGAAGTTAAATATTCTAGAATCCCGATGTGGATGCAACAGAAGTTCCCAAACCGTGAGCCCAGCAAACTGCCCAGCATCACCCGTTTCCTCCTGCTCAGAACACCCGCTCCGCTCCCGGTGTGCCCTTCCTCTCCGGCCCCCGCCTCGCCGTGGGGGCGGCTGTGCCCACACAGACGGACGGACACAGGAAGGCGGCGTGCGCCCCCGTCCCACCGACACCTGGCCAGTACTCCAGTTCGCCATCACCCGTAGGTTACATCCCAGACCACCAGAGCCAAGACAAGGGCTCAGTGCACTAAGGCGACTGTCCTAGGACCGACCCCCTTCACGGTAGGGGATGTGAAGGACAGCACTTAGAACTTCTGGGCCATTACTGAGCGTTTCCCAGGTATATCAAGGGAGGCTCAAAGTAAGTTTACAGTTACTGTTCTGGGCATCTCTGGAGCAAGAACTCCATTTCCAGATGAAGTTCTGCTTCCGTACAGCCGACACAATTCTCAGGCGGTGCGCACCGGCACCAGCTTCCACCACACCCCCTCCCCGCCCCTCGGCTCCGCGGGGAGGCACAAGAAAGAGGGCAGCCAGAATAACCTTTTGACTGGCCGACATTCTGTGCAGTTCTTGACCTGGAACGTCCTGGCATGCAAAGAAGCTATCGAAGTCACAGACCCTTGTCAAAAGAATTCGGCATCTATTTTCAAGTATCCCATTGGCCAAAGACAGGAAAATTTATGCACCAGTAACAGCAATCATTACAATGGATTAAAATACATTAAACATGTTTAAATCCATGAGGTCAAATGACACTTTAGAAGGTCACTGAAAAAGATGCTTTTCGTACCTCTCATCAGCTTCTCCTCACAGGCCGGATTTCAGGGCAGCTGTGTCTGAAAGTGTTGACAGCACCCCCCTGCTGCCACTGGCCCACTGTGCTTTTCAGCCTCAAGGCATTTCCTAAGCCTGGGGAGTCCCCCACCCACCCAGGGCTCAGACTCCACATGGAAGTGCAAGCGAGTGGACACACCCCCATCTCATTAGGGCTAAGCGCCCATGGCTCTCCATGCCTCCTCCTGCGGACAATTCCGAGGTGCATTCCCCGTGGGCCCTCAGCAGGGCCGCCCCAGGTGCCCTCAGCTGTAATAAGATCAATTATGTTCCTTCTTTCGACCACTGCGGCTTCTGGTCTCCCCTCCCCGAGCTCTGCTGCTTCCTGGGATCACCTCCCAAACACACCACCTACACCCAAGTCTTTGTCTTATTCTCACGCTGGAGTCAAGTCCAATCTTGGAGGATACCACGGAACTAATTCCATCTTCTGAAAACTGTTAGGCAGAAGAAAAGCAGCATCTACTCTTTCCTACACAAACTGTGCTTCAGGGTAATCAAGTAGCTGATGAGGGAAGTTTCTCCTTACCCAAGGATCACAATTCTAAGGTATTTAAAGATCCAGGACACTATCATCAAGGAGCTATCAACATGAAAAGGAGACGGCCAGCCATTGTAAAGCTCCTGATGGGAGTACACAAAACCACCCGTGGTGGCCAACCTCTGAAAGGACCCCCAGCGGTCCATTTCCTGGTATGCACAGCTCTGCGTGGTCCCCTCCCATGACGTACACTATGTGGCTTGTGCCCCCGACAGCACGCTGCAGAGACGACAGTGTGTCACCACCAGCACTGGGTTGTAACAGACTGCGGCTTCCTACTTGGGCCCTCTTTCCGCCACTGTCTCCAGTTCCTGGATCACACACTTCGGGATAAGCCAGCTGTCTCCCCGGAGCTGCCCTGTGAAGACGCTCTCGTGGCAGCTGGGGAGGCCTTGGGTCAGTAGCCAGGAAGGAGCTGAGGGGCCCCCAGTCCAAGAGCCCGGGAGGAACCGCAAGCTCGGCTGAGACACACGTGTGAGCTTGGAATCGAATCCTCGGCCTTGAGAGAGCGCAACCCCAGCCGACAACTCAACCAACACCCCCCAGGACACCATGACCCAGAGCCACCCAGCTAAGCAGCCCCCAGAGGCCTGACCCTGAGAAACTAAGATAATGAACGTTTGCTGTTTCAGGCCGCTAAGTCTTGGCGTAATACGTTAGGCAACGATGACTGAGCAATGTCCCACGTCTGACGAGCCTTGTTCCCCCTCCCCCAAAACCGAGCCCAAATCCAACCCAGCGGCTAACTGCCCACCAACTGACAGGGCAGAGGGGAGCAGGAGCAGCACATCCGCTGACCGCAGGGGAAGGAACCACCATGGGAACACTAAGGACTTTCAATAGCCTGTTTCCATTAACAAGGAAGTGACAAGGGAAAAAGGACGGGGAACCAACCTGGAGATATAAAAAGACTTAAAAGACTATCCTAATTCAAATAAATTATAAAAACAAAATAACAACATTCGAAACCATAAAGGATATGTGAACACTGACTACGTGTTTAATGACATTATGGAATTACTTCTTATTTTTATTATGATAATACTACTGCGGTTTTAAAAAAAATATCCTTATCTTTCAGAAACATGCACTGGAATATTTACGACTGAAATTATATCGAGGATTTGCCTCCAGAAACTCTAAGGCGAGGGCAGGGGAGTGGGGCAGGGCGGTGAAATCTGACAGGGAGCCGCTGACCGCTGAAGGCGGGTGACAGGTACGGGGGTGTATTTAGTTTTCCTATTCTCTCTACTTTTGTATATATTTGAAATTTTCCTTTGAAGGAAAAACTGCATTGCTTTTTCACTTTTTATCTAAATTAAGGAGGTGAAAAGGAAATTTCAAGTCACATTCTACCTAACCTCCTTAAACGGCTAGAGGTCAATCAGTTTCCCACGCCCCGAACGCCCAGCACGCGCCCCGAACACTGACCTGAGGGGGCTCGAAGTTCGGCCTCCACCAGTTCCCGATGCAGTCGTCGATGACCCAGTCCTGCAGGACTCCGTCCTGCCGGCCTAGTATCTGTCGGAAGGAAGAGGCACAGCCCGTGAACGAGGAACCACGCGTGCCCGACACCCTTCTGCCACGAGAGAACTTTACTGGCAGTGCTCCTAACAGAGGCACGCTTCCCCTGTGGACAGCAGAGCGTTCAGAAACTGCAATCCCAAGCACCCCTTTGGGGGGGGAGCGCATAACTGTTGCATTTCACTTCGTTCGAGGTCACTAACTCATCCCTGCTGTCCACAGAGGTTACATTTCTTCCAACTCAAACGTCAGTTGTCCTACTAACTTCAGTCTCCCTAAGAGACACCCCGCTGCGATCCTGCTGGGATCGGCAGACGCGCAGCCCTGCCCACAGCCGGCAGGGCCCCAGGCTCCCCCTCGCCTCTCTCCGCTCTCCACTCCCAATCCTGGGTCTCCTTTCCCAGTTTATTTTGGTGCTGAGCACCCTCTTATTCCTGAGAAACCGTGTAAGAGGTAACACAGTTTTAGAGACCCTGTATGCTGGAAATAACTATTTTACACACACACACTTGATTTAGTTTGATTAGACAGAGAATTCTAGGGTAGGAATCACGTTCCCTAGGTTTATAAAGGAATGTTCCACGATCTTTTAGCTCCCAGAGTCATTTCTGGTGAGTCAACGCCGTTTCTGATGTTGGTGCCTGTGTTTCACCCATGTCTCTGTCCCCACCCACTGTGGGAGCTTTTAGGGCTTTCTCTTTATCCTCGCTGACTTAAATTGCATGATGTGACCGTGCACAAATCTTTTAACGTTCGTTACAGAGGGCAGACCGGTAGTTCCCTTTGGTCTGAAAACTCACACTCCTCGAGTTTGGGAAATTTTCTTAAGTTATCACTTCGCAAACTCTTCCTTCCTCTGTCCTCTTCATCTGTACAATGGACCCTTCAACAACACGGGTTTGAATTATGCAGTTCCACTTACATGCAGATTTTTTCAATAAACATTGTAAATGTGTTTTCTCTTCTCTATGATTTTCTTTCCTCTAGCTTACTTCACACGGGAATACAGTACATAACACACATCACACAAAACATGCGAGAGTCAACTGTTTTATGTAACCAGGAAGGCCTCCAGCCCACAGCAGGCTGTCGGTTAGGTTTAAGGGAAGTCCAAAGTTCAAGGTGGACTTTAAACTGTGTGGGCAGGCAGCGCCCTCTCACGCTCACATGGTTCAACAGTCAAGTCTGGTTTAATCTGGTCCTTCTAGAAAGATCTACTAATTTTACCTTTTCTTACCTATGGTCTATCTTTTCATTTTACTTTCTGGTAGATTTCTTAAATTCAGTCTTTTAACTACTGAATTTTTCATTCCACTAATTTTTTTGTAATACTCATGAGTTCTTTTTCATTGTTTGAATTATCTTTTTACTATTTTATTTTTTAAATTCTCACCTAAGGACATTCTTCATTGCTTTTAGAGAGAAAGAGACAGAAATATCAATTGGTTGCCTCCTGTAAGTGCCCCGGCCAAGACTCAAACCCACCACCTCTCCGCGTACCAGAGGCTCCAACCAACCGAGCCACACTGGCGAGGGCTGGCTGCCTGTCTCGATGGCGCACTGTTACACAGGTGCACTGTCTTCTTTGTCACGCCAAGCATACTAACTGGGACTTGACTGATCTCTCCATTCGGTTTCTGGTGGCTTCTTTTTGCTTCTTCTGATCTTTCTTGTCAAGCAGGTTTCTCTAAAAGCCTGGTGATACTTAGTTATCTGCTTACAAATATGGGTAAAGCAAGAAGATGCTTAACTGTCACCTCTGGGAGTTTGATGCTAGGACTACACTAATTCCTCGGAAGACTCCCAAATGTCATCCATCTGGAGAGATTTTGATACTGTTCAATCACTGTCTCCAGAAACAAAACCTCTGACCTTCAGCCTGGGGTAAAACTAGTTGTCAATAAACTATAAACCTGGTAGGAAAAGCCCCAAAGTCTCGCTATTCAGGATGTAAACTTTCACTTATTCTCCCTGCTCAACCTTTTCACTGCTTAATGTTTTCTGACTCAATGTCTACAAAGACTCAATCACCAGCCAGATATGACCCAACTGTACAGAGTGGGGGAGAAGATCCAGGTATATAAATACATCCCGGACAGACTGTCAGCCAACCCTGATTTCAGCCCACACACGGCCCCACTTTCTCAGGCACCAGGCGCCCCCAGTCCCTGGCCTTCCCAGGGTCCTGCAGGCTGGCTTCTGCGCTGCCCTCCTGCTGGGCTGAGGTTTCTATGCCAGTCATGGTTTGCCTACCTGTCTCCCAGCTTCCAAAAATCTTTGTTGTTGTCTAATCTTGCACTCCCTCGGCCCTACTGGATTTATATCCTTTTAAAATCCCTTTACTGCTTTTTTGGTGGAATTCTGAGATGGAGCTAAGGTAAACAGGTAGGTTTGAGCTATCACATGTAAATGGGTATCTAAGAACAGCACAATATTTAAAAGTGACAATGCATTTAAAAGTTACTAAAAAGAACAACAGGTCAAAGTGGCAGAATTACAGATTACTCTAGTTTTGTTTCTACTTTTCTGCATTTGCCAAGATTTTTGCAAAGAATATATATTAGTTTTGTAATTAAAGGAGAGGGTAGGTTGCATGCTAAAAAAGAGAAGTATCTCATATCAAAAACATCCCATAATCTCAAAAACCTCCAGATTCTATGCATTTGGCTGCAAGCCCTCAGAGGCAGACACGAGACTGACTTCTGAACAGTGGTGCACCTGAAGCCCTGGCCAGGGGCTCGGCTGGTTAGAGCATCGTCCCAATACGTCATGGTTGCAGGTTCCACCTGCAGCCGGGACACACACCAGAAACAACCAATGAATGCCCAAGTAAGTGGACCAGCAGACTGACGTGCAAAAACGAAAACAGGTATATAACAGAAATCATTCTCTTGTCAAAGTTCTGCATGGCCATGGCCTACTATGGAACAAAACGACGTGCACTCACAGCTCCAGCTCCACGATACACTGGCCGTATAGCATCAAGCAAGTTACCCGAGCTCTCTCTGCCCTAGTTTTTTAATCAGTAAAATTGAGTTAATAATAGTACCTCCTTCCTAGAGCTATTGTGACAACCAAAGGAATTACTGCACGTAAAACACTGCCTAGTACAGCAAGTGCACAATAAATGTTGGCTTTTATTATCCATTATTGTTACATAAACATTTAGGGAAAACAAGTAAGATAAAGTAAGCATAAGTTCAACTGGTAGAAAATAAACATTGTACATACTAACACTCTGGGATTTAAGTTTTATTTATTGAAAAGTAAATATTCAAAATAAAGTTATCCTTTTCACAAGACATAAAAAGCCTAATCATCCAGTGAGTGGATGGTATCAACACGGGCAATAATAAAACCGCCGAAGTGGTGAAATAGAAAAATACCTCTGTCATTAAGCGTTTTAGTCCTTCAACTTCATCTTCTCCTGGGTTAAGTTCACCACCAGGTCTGCATAAAGGTTAAGAATTTCAGCTTTCAGTGTAATGCAATTCGGGGAGAAGACAGTAATACTTTTTTCTGTCAAGTAACTGAAAACACACATTTCAGTGTCACACGATGAGGCAATCAAAGGGAGAGAGAAGAACGTGCTAGAAACAGAAAGCTGAATCCGTGTTAATTTGCCAGACTAAGAGTAACACGAACTCTAATTTTAAACAAAGTTTGTGCCATAATACAAACGTTACATAATTGCTGACCACCAGTCCACCCCAATCCCTTTTTCCTGGAAGCTATCTGGCGTTAGTGAGCTCCACAAGTGTCCACAGAGCAATGGACCACACATTCCTTAAGTCAGAAGAACGGGGCATTTTCCCAGAACTCCAGTCTAAATATTTGAGACCTCTTTTGGTACAATTTGTTCAAATTGTTGTGAACTAGATGTATATCGAGAAATTCATGAGCTTAAATGGTAAAGCTAAATAATTATCTATAAAAATACAAGCCATTTTAAGAATAGAAAACGCTATTCATCCAAAGAAATAACATCAACTGTTTTTAGTAATGCTACGATGACATCTAGTAACCGAACTTGGGATCACTTTGTTTAGCAGGGCTCCTACCAAGCCCCGTCATTAACGTCAACAACATATGGAAACACGCAGACTTCTAGTTGGGCAATGAAAGACCACGGCCCTGGAGAAAAATTACTTGTGCCATTCTCTTTCTCAAGACCCCAGAACAGCCCTGTTTGTTGAGACAGATGCCTGGCGCTAAAACTCTACTCCAAAGCTGCCTAAAACAGCAATCCCATTTAGAGCTGCCCTGCGGTAAATTCCCCCGACACTTACAGTTTGAAGAAAGTCGTCCCCAGCTGCAGCAGGAGCACATGGGGTAGCCGGTGCTCATGGACAATCAGAACCCCTTCCACAGTCCTCCTCATTCCAATCTTATCAAATTCCTCCCTCATGCGCTGAAACCTGGCTGCAACAGAGCTGTCCTTCTCGTACAGGGGCTCTTTTGTACCGAAAGTGTAGTTGGTGAGAGGGTACCTGTGATCCAAAGACAAACGCTGCATGTGAGAACTGGAGACCATCATTTACCACCACAGACAGCAACCACATTAAACACACACACGCACACGCGCACACACACACACACACACTCTCTCTCTCTCTCTCTGGTGAAAAGTGTACATACTGTACTCAGAGCCTTAGGATTTGTCCAGAGTTACACAACTAGTTAATGAGACAACAGAGACTAGAATCCAGGACTTGGGACTCTAAAGCCAGAGCTTGTATTAGATCAAGCCTGTCATTCTACACTTGAACTTTCAAGCGCAGGTAACACTATCCTTAAGGCCCTTAAATGCTTACAGAAGTGGTGATCTGGACATCTGGTGGTGGCTAGTGTAATAGCATTGCCAGGCTGGCTAGTGTCCCTTCCGGCTCCTCTGACTGCTAACCTAATCAGAAATTCTACTAATTACGGGCACTAATGGCTAATCTCTTTTTCTACAGGTGCAGCCATCGCTTCCATCATCTCTCCCGTTTTCTCTAATTCTCCTAGTCAACTACCCTTAGCCTTTCCTGGACCACTCCCCTTTCATCTCCAGATACACTTTTCTTTCCCCTCTAAAACCTTTTCAGCCTTCTGCATTTATTTCATTCATTATCCTTAGTCTTCCCCCTCCTCATGAAGTCTTCTGCCCACCATGCTTAATCTGAGTATTTGCTCCTCCTTTATCAAGAATTCAAAATATGGCTCATATTGCTGAAGGCAGTTTTCAGCACGTTGCCCAATAAAGATCAAAATTTTCCTTAAAAATAATTTAAATTACCACAATTATATTTCTATCACACATATCACCTTCTAACTCTTCAATCCTAAGACTTACAATTCCAGTAAGTCTTTGAGTAAGAAGAATGCTTTGCCCACACTGCCTATCCCCAAGGTATCTATCTACTTTATAAAAATTCCTTGACCTAAAATCAGTAACTACATGACTAACCCACTCTATTCTTGGAAGGGGAACAAATCAATGTTGCCAAAACTTTAAAAAGTTCATTCCAGAAGCCAAATTCTAAGACTAAATGAAGCAGCTCTTAAACACACCATTTCCAGGGTGCGTTGAAGATTTTCAGAAAGACCTTCCCCAGTAGTTCCGATGCTGAAGCTGGTATCATCATTAGCAGCAGCAACCTCACACGGCACTGTGTGCCGGGCAGTTTTTTAGAATGCTTTATCTAGATAGATACTCAGTTCTCACAAATGAAGCTATGAAGAACTAAGGATGGCTGTAGCACATCTCTACGACAAGAGCCAGCTCTCACATCATCAAGGAGACAAGCAAGCAACGTGACATGTCATTTTCAGCTGTCAAATCGGTGCCAGCTGGGACACACACATATTATTTCCATCACACTGTGAGCTTTATAAAGCAGGGACGACATCTTACTTCCTCGCCACTGTTCACCCAGCATTACGCCCAGTGCCTGGTACAAAGTGGGCATCGGTGCAGTATTTTTCTGAAAGAAAACACTGAGGGAGACAGGACTTGTTCTCCGATTGAGGTTACTCACACACGAGCTGCGTCTACAACACGACGATTATTTCTGAATACTGTACTTATCTAGGAGAGGAAAAGTCCTGTAAATCTATCAGCCAGTAACTTTGATGGAGTGAAGGTTAAAACATTTTCACATCACGGCTGAAGGCAAACGGGTCGAATAATCAAGGCAAACTGCCAGGGAGCTGTGGGTCCTGGACCAATCACCACCAAACATGATCCGGAAGCTGCACTTCCATATTTTTTAAAAGAGGAACATCTGCCTTTCCCACCTCATGGGAATCTTACCAGAATTTTTAAAAGGAGCTATGTGAAGTTAAAATGTTATTATGTCAATATAATAGCTATTCACTTGCATACATGCAACTCCCTACTAATTTCAGATTTCACACAGCTAGAATTTTTTTTATTTAAATTTTCTAACCAGCATCTGTTTTGCCAACAAAGCAATAGCCACCCTTTCAATTTCAAATCGCTTCTGAGGGGGAAAATGCATTTGTTTGAAAGTAAAACAGAACACACCAAGAGTGTCCTATAAAAACACCACTATCATCAGTTAACCGTGCACCTTTTAAACACGGGCCAGAATTAAAAGGCTACCTTCGTCCACTGGGGCCAGCCAGCATCCCTGTGCCTCACAAACCCTTAGGAACCCTAAGATAAAAAAGCATACTGTCGAGTACTTGAGCAAGAAGACACAGCCCAAATGCCAGTCACCTGCCTTAGCGAGGTTACTTGTGAGAGTGAACTCGAAATGCAATGGCTTTTGGTGCTTAAACACAAAGGTGTAGATAACCCAACGCAGCCCCAGTGGGTTCCCTGGGTTACACTGTAGACCCCTCCACGGTTTGAAAGCCCAACCCTAACAGCATCCAACCTCCCAAGCGGGGGCCTACGGGGCGCCTGGATGCTCCCACTGAGTAGAGGCAGAGAAGACTTGTCCATGCACAGCGCAGACCAGATAGCCCGAAGCACAACAATAAAACGTATGCTGATGAGCTGATAGGCCGTATAGCGGTTAAGAGAAAAATGCCAATGTAGCAAGATCGCGAAAGCTTACTGTTAGAATAGCAAGCACCGCGTTTTGCGGTTATCTCTGGGCAGGTGGAGGAAAGAAAGAGTTCAAAGCAAACTAATGTTCTTCCTACGACTGAATCCAGGGCTTGGGAAGAAGCCTTCTTTCCGGAAAAGGAAAACCCTCTCAAGTAGGACGCTAACGCCTAGGCGCTGGACAACAAGGGGTCTGCAGGAGCTGGAAAGGCCCGCGCTCAGGAGCGGGAGTCCGGGCGGGGGGAGGCGTGGAGGCTTCGAGGGCCAGGGGCGCGCCGGAAAGGAGATTGAAGCCTTTAGCAACGCTCCCTAGAAAGGTAAGTCGGTGGAAGCAGCGCCGGAAGGCCGGGCCGCACTTACAGGTTGATTGTGCGCTCCAAGGTGAGGGGCTTGGTCTGCTGGATGTACTTGTTGCCGAACTGGTTGACCCCCCGGGGCCAGCCGGTCTGCGAACGATTGGGCGGTACCACGGACATGCTGGCGAGCACCGGCGGCGAGCGGAAAGAGAAGGCAGGGAGACTTTCCCGGTGCGGGCAGCGGTCGTCTGCGTCCCACTCAGCAGCCGCCGCCCGCCATTAACGTGGGAGCGCAGAGAAAGGTGCACGCACACCGGAAGTGCATCCAGAACCTCTGGCGGCAGGAAGTAGAGAGGCGTTGGCCAGCCAGGCCGAGCACCATTGGAACCGTCGCTGGTGGATGGCCGCAATATCTGGAGTTCTCATTGGTAAATCAGCTATGGGTTCCGCCTTCTTTCTCCGTAATACTTCCTATTGGATGGCTCTGGGAAAGAGCGCATTCTGGGAATTGTAGTCTCCACTGGAAAAGAGCTGCTGGATCAGCGTGGCGTGGGTCTGTAGCTGTAGAGATGAACGGGAAACGGCCGGCTGAGCCCACCCCGGGCGGGACGGGGAAAAAGAGAAAGAAGGAGGTGATGGTGGAGTTTTCGGGTGCTGTCACGGAGGAAATCTTGAAAAAGCAGGTGGCTGAGGCCTGGAGCCGCAGGACGCCGTTCAGTCACGGTAACCTGCTGCTGCGAAGAGAGGGCCGCCGCGCGATGTCTGGGCACCTCTGAGAGTCCTGGTGCTCGAGCCGAGCCCGGGGCAGTGAGAACACAAGGATAGAGGCTCTTGGAGGGAGCGTGGCTTTGGCCACCTCCGGTTCTCCTGCCGGGCTTCCTGCCCGCTTTCATTCCAAGTTTGGTTTGGATTTAGAACCGCGAGAATAGGAAGGAATGTAGGCCAGAGAGTTTAGGGGAGTAGAGGGCGTCAACTTCATAGCTGACTTCTGCATTCAAGGATAATTGAGTTCGAATTCTTTCCCCTGGTCCTTTTCAGGGGGTTTAACTTTTTAGTTTCTTCAGTTCCTTCCTATGTAAAAAGGGATAGCTAATAGCATTTACCTGGGAAAGGTGCTGAATGTGATTAATGAAGTAATGCACTCATGTATGCATCAATAAATCGTTCTCTGAGGAGGTACCAGTAAACACTTGGACTCATACTTGGGTGGCTTAAGTGACATTTTCCTCTAAAGATAACATTTGGTTACGCCATGATAGTGTAGCCAGAATATTAGAGCTAGTGAGTATCCGTCCCCTGAGCGGACCTGATTTTTTACGCGCCTGTAGTTCAACTCCATGACCTATGGAAGTAAATGTGTGTTGCCCAAAGAAGGAAACTGTAATGACCGATTCCAAGCTCAGCCTCACATGTCACCTTACAGGACACGATGACCCCTCCCTGTACCACACATTCCCTTCTCAAGTTTGCCGTGATTTTCGTTTCAGCGAAGTGCTTTGAAGAGGTGAGCCCTGGCCTCTGGATGCACCTAGAAAGTGATAGCCCCAGCCGTAGGCAGCTGCCTGGGTTGCCTTGTCCCTAAGCAAGTGTTCCACTGCTAGGAGAAGAGCAGCTGTAGCTGGTTGGCATGCTGGGCCTGGTTCGTGCCAACTCTGATGGGAACTATACCAGGATGCCAGCATAGTTGGAAACAAAAAAGAAAGCAATAGCTCAGTGTTTAAAGTGCGAGCTGTTTACACTCAGGAGCTTCTCAGTTTCCTCCTCTGTCGGTAGGAGGGAGTGCTAATGTCAGCCTTAGAGTTGGGGAGAAGATCGAATGAGATAATGCACATGAGCAGATAATTGTGACTGGCACTTGGTGGGTGCCGGCAGTGGTCGCCGGAGGGGTGCACAATCTAACCCACCAGAGGCAGTAGGTAAAATGTGGAAAGAGAAGTCAAGGAATTCAAAGGAGTTATGCTGAACTGATTTGTTGTTGTTTTTTTTTTAAGAAAAAATGAAGTATGTGTGTAGGAACAGCCTGAAACAGTAACTTAGGAAAGAAAAAGGGTTGAAGGAAAATTGCCAGCCAGTGTTGCAGTTCTTATTTTTAATTTGCTACTCGCATTTTAAGTTTGGGGGGAAATAATTTAAGACTCTAAAGGACCTTCAATTCAACATGTAAACATGAAATTGACACCCCCCCCAAGAGCAGGAACCATAGCTTACTGATAACATACATACTCATCTTAAGGCCTAGTATTTTAAACACAGTATCTTTAAAAAGGGGATACTGAGTGGGTAAAGAAAAAAGGGAATAGCTTATCATTCTTCTCCCAAATCTTAGACTTTAGGTGCTAGGTTCCTGACAATCCATGGCCATGGCCTTTTGTATTCCCTGTGCTGTGCTACTCGGGGGTCAAAAAAGCCGTGTTTTCTTTCCCACAGAAGCCATTGTCATGCACATGGACCCCTTTCTTCACTGCGTGATCCCAAACTTCATCCCAAGCCCAAACTTCTTGGAAGGTCTGCAGAAGGAACTTTTGAACTTGGACTTCCATGAGAAGTACAATGATTTGTATAAGTTCCAGCAGGTATTTATGCCCCTCTCCATTCTTTCTCCCGCTTCAGACATGTGTTATTTGTATGGTCATTCAGTACCCTTAGACTTGAGGTTTTAGATGGGGTTTGCCTTGGAGGGTCCTTGCCTCCGTGTTATTAAGAGCAATCATTCATTTAGCATAAGCTTACCAAGTGTTAACTGTGTTAGGTGCCATAATGATTGTATGGGAGTCTTTGCCAGTTCTTTCCCTGTAAGACTTTAAGACTTAAAATAATAGAGGTGATAGTGACAGTGACAGTGACGGTCAGGAAATAGGGTAGGCCAGTACATGAGCACATTATAAACAGAGGGGTGAAGTGCATTTGGGGGTCGTATACTGAAGAGAGTCATACATTGGAAGGTAGTAACCATTCCAGTGTTCGAGTTCGTGGCTTTGTCTAGGTGGCTTGACGCATTGCAATAAGCTGTCCATTCAGTATGCCCTGTGTTGCACACCCGCAAATGGATAAAATGATAACCTTGTTACATGAATTTTATCTCCATGTGAAAAAGTGTAAGTGGGATCATTGTTATTCCTTTGCTCAAAAACTCCGACGGTTCTGGGTATTTTTAAGTCAAGCCTGAAGTACTTAGCACGGCTCTGAGGCCCCCGCTGCCTCTTGGGCCTCATCTCCTGCTGCTCCCCCGCTCACTCTCAGCTCTGACCACACAGTCTCCTTGCGAGTTCCCGAACCGGCCAGGCCCGCCCCACCCTCAGGGCGTCGAATCCTCTTTGCCCGTCCTTTGTCACCCTCCGCACCCCCATTCAAGCCTTCGCTTCACTTCGGTGAAGTCCAGCCTGGCCAACTTATTTCTAAGGGCAAACCCTTCCTCACTCGCAGCGTTTCCAGCCCCTCTGGTCCTGCCGTGTTTTTCCTATGCATTTATCACCTTCATTTATTCTAATCAACTTTTTGTGTTTCTGGTCTGTCTCCCTCAACAAGAGCGTAAGCTCCGCTGTAGTAACTGCTCACATGTTTGTGGAATGAATGAGGTCCAGGGAAGCTGAGGAACTTGCCCGAGTCACAGAGCTGCCCAGAGGGCCGTGCTGCAACCCAGGCGCTTGGGCTCCAGGCTTCGGGCTTCTTAACCGCAGCACCAGATGCCCGGGGCACTCACTTCAGTACTCTCCAGCGTGTGTCTCACATGTGACGGAAATCCTTTTTTCTCTTTTCATGGCCAAGTCTGATGATCTGAAGAAGAGAAGAGAGCCTCACATCTGTGCTTTAAGGTAAAGAAGTAACCATATTTGTTGGGTGCCTAATATGTGCCAAGCTTACTAGTAAATGCGTTAAATGTTGTTATACAACCTCTGTTCGTGTGATTATCCCGTGTTGTGGAGGAGGAGACAGACTCTGAGAAAAAAATTAAGTAACTTCTTCAAGGCCACGCAGGTAACAATTGAGGGAGCTCAGATGCGAACGCAAGTCTGTCGGATGCCCGGGCCCAGATTATCAGTGATAAAATGTTCAGCGCTGTTAGTAAGCACGGACACAAACCAACACCAAGTATGCTTCTTCACCTGTTAGGTTGGCAAATGTGAAAAACAGCAACTCCAGGGCCGACAGAAGTGTAGATAACTTTATATGCTGCTGCAGTCCTTCTTAGAGGATGATGTCGAAAGATATATCAAAACCCTAAAAATTAGGCTTAGCTTTTTGTAGTGGAATGCCACTTACAAGAATTTATCCTAAGAAAATAATGCAGGATGTGCTCTGAGAATATTAGTCCTAAGCTATGCAAGTTGAAAATAAGGAACGCTCTTAGGAGCGGATCTCTTGAACAAGCCACAACCTCCAGGGAAAAAATAGTTGTGGCGTAGACCCACATGTAGCCCAACCTGTGGCCTGACAAGTTATCTTGTTTGCATTTCTAGGAAAGTTCTGTTCGAAGATTTCCGGGCGTGGCTTTCTGACGTTTCCAAGATTGACCTGGAGTCCACCATCGACATGTCCTGTGCTAAATACGAATTCTCAGGTGAGGGGGACAAAGCCCTGGTGTCTGTAAGATGCAAAGGCTTTAACTGAACAATACTAGAAAGATGGTGTCAGCGCATCAAAATCCCAGACTGTGTCCCTGTATAACATCGGGTCTTTTTTTTTTTTTTAATCATTGTTCAAGTATAGTTTTCTATCTTTTACTCCCATTCCAGCCCACCCACCCATCCTCCCCACTTCCCTCCCATCACCACCACGCCCCTAGTTGTTGTCCATGTGTCCTTTAAATTTGTCCCTGTAAACCCTTCCCATTCTCCCCTGAAATTCCCTCTTCTCTCCCCTCTGGTCACTGTCAGCCTTGTCCTCTATTTCAGTGTCTTTGCTTATATTTTGCTTGCTTCTTTGTTTTGTTGTTTAGGTTCCTGTTAAAGGTGAGATCATATGGTATTTGTCTTTCACCACCTGGCTTGTTTCGCTTAGCATAATGCTTTCCAGCTCCATCCAAGCTGTTGCAAAGGGTAGGAGCTCCTTCTTTCTTTCTGCTGCATAGAATTCCATTGTGTAAATGTACCATAGTTTTTTGATCCATTCATTTACTGATGGGCATCTAGGTTGCTTCCAGCACTTGGCTATTGTAAATTGTGCTGCTATGAACATTAGGGTGCACAGGTTCTTTTGTATTGGACATCGGGGTCTTAATAAGGAAGATCCGACCAGCTTGTGTGCAGTAATGCCCATTGCATTGGAAGGTATAAGGCAGTACTTCTCTGTGGGAATATGATGAAAGCTGTTGTCCGTGTTCTCAGAATAATGCTGATAATGCATGTACACTCCAACTTGACATATAATATCAGAAAATCTGGAGGTGATACATAAACTCCCAGACTTCTCAGGGAACGAATGTCTTCCTCACCGTCAATTGTTTCTTTTTTTATTTTGAAGGTGATAAGTGAATACACTCTCCAGGGAAAAAATTCAGACAACATAGAAATGTACAGTGCAGTCCCTGATCGTCCCCTTCTCTTGCTCCTCGCCCCTCCCCTTTCTCTTCAGGGGTCCCCGTTGTCACCAGCTTGGGGGCGCCCCCCCAGCTCCCCTTCTGAGCACATACATGTCCTTCTGATAACCTGTTGGGTAGTTGGTCTGGAAGGGAAAGTGTTGTGTTTTGTTTTGATTTGGGTTTAACTCCCATCCGGGAAGTTTGCCTTAGTGACAACTTTTTGAGAATAACTTAGTGATACACATGAAGAGTCATATCCTAAGCCCTTTTTTAACTTTAGTTTTTTCTTTTTAATTTGAAGTAATTCCAGACTTACAGAGAGGTGGCACGTGTAGCACAAATCGGTTTTTTTTCCATTGTACTTGAAAGGAGGCCACGGTTGCAGTGCTCCATGACCCTGCTAGTTCAGTAGTTCGTACAAGGACATTCTCCTCCATCACAGCAATAAACCATCAAAATCAGAAAATTAAGATTGATACGTTGTTCCCTCCTAATCCACGGGCTCCATTTGGTTCCATTCTTTGGTCGTTTGCATCTGCTGCAAAGCCAAGGGCGCGGCCCAGGACGGCACGTTGTCGTTGCACGCACGTCATCACGCCCCCTCGTCTCCCTCGGTCTGGAGCCATTCCCCCAGCTCCCCTTGACCTGCATGATCTCGGGGCTGCGGAAGGCCTGCAGAGGAGTGGCTCTGTAGAACTTGCCTCAGTGTGGGCTCGTCTGGTGCCTCCTCGTGGCGAGAGTCGAGCCGTGTGGTTTTGGCAGGAACGCTGCAGAACTCGGCGTTGTGTTTCCGCGTCCCATCGGGCAGCACACGGTTCCCGTGTGTTACTGGCTTTTTCACCTCATGAAGGCAGTGGCCGGAGTCTCAGCATTTCTAGCCCCTCTGGTCCTGCCAGGTTTCTCCTGTGCATGTATCACCTTTGTTTATGCTGATGATAGAATAGCTGTAAACTTACCCTTTGCTGCCTGTCAGTTAACTGTTTTGTGGGGAGACACTGAGATGATGCATATTTCCCATTCCTCATCAGACTTTTGTTCATCTCGTTTAGCATCCACTGATATTTCTTGCTGAATTATTACCATGCAGGTTGCCAAATGGTGATTTCTGCAGTCAAATCATTTCTTCTCCACTTATTCTGCTGTAAAGACAACCCTTTCCTCTCCCCATTCATTTATTTATTTACTCATTTATGTCAGTGTGGGTTTATGGGTTAGTGTTTATGGAATGGGGGGTTATCAGGTACAGCCATTTTATTGATGCTTGTATTGTCCCTGATTTGATCAGGGGGGACCCCTTAAACTGACTTCTGTGTCCTTTAGTTGTGCCCTCATAATTTATGTGTATCTTACTTTCTGACAAAACAAGACTGTTCAGGTTTATCGTGCATTTTCTGTGCTCTAGACTTAGAGTTGGCTGTTGTTGCAAAGAACCCTGGTTCCTCTGAGTGAAGAATGATATTTAAAATCAAAGTCTCTGGGACTCGAGGCGTTTTTGCTATTAGGTGTCACTGCTCCAAGACCCTTTCCGTGGAAGGAGGGTAGCACACGTACATGTGCACACACATGCATTTCCGTGTGTGTGTACTTCTGCATCTGTATTTGTATCTAAGTGTCTAGTGAATGTCCATGCACTTACATGTGTGTGTGGGAAACTGGGTTCACATGGATTCCTCCAGTTCCAGTTCGGCACCATGGGGTTCACTCTAAGTTCACCTTTTCCACATTTGCAATTCCCTTCTTTCACAGTGAGAGGCCTGGGTTCCATTAGCTTCACTGTACTCAGTTATCAAAACCGTCCCTCCGTATGTGAGCAATCTCAGTTCACCGTGGCCTCCCTCCCCCCCGCCCCCCGCACGTCTCCTTCCTTGCCCAGCCCCACCTCATGGGTGTTCGAAGTTTAATTCAAGAAATGAATGGGAACAGGTACAAAAAAGATTTTTGTGCAACGATGTCCATTAAAACATCCTTTTCTTAATAGACAAGAAATGGACACAGCATAGGGGATTGATTAGAGGGAGAGGGAGGTGATTTATAATCCGTACGGTAGAATAATTCTGCGGCCGATAAAAGCGACGAGAGGAATGTGTATCAGTGTGGAAAGACGTTTGCCATGTAATGGCAGTTTAAAAAGCAGGCCACCAAACAACCGCTGGAGGACACCATTTTTTTTTTCAAAAGCAAATACATGTGTGTAGAACAAGCACTGGAAGAAAGATGTAAAAATGTTGTTAGCGAGCATCCCTGGGTCTAATAATCACACAGGTGCTCCTCCTCAGTGTCTGTAGAGTTGGCAGTGTCATAGCCGGAGGAGCTGACCTGACAGGTGGATGGCACAGAGCCCAGCCCCTGCAGCTCCTTGCCCACGCAGGCGCGTGAGGCTGTGCCTTAACCTTGCAGATGCCCTGCTCTGCCATGACGACGAGCTGGAGGGGCGCCGGATCGCCTTCATCCTTTACCTGGTCCCCCCCTGGGACGGGAGCTTGGGCGGCACCCTGGACTTGTACAACGTCGATGGTAAGGCACCCGCCTGCTCTCCGACTGCCACAGCTGCTTCCCAGCCCGCAGGCACAGTGTCAGCACTCCTCCGGGGGGACAGGGGCTGCCGACTGCGGTGGCTGCGGCAGGCGGGCCTGATGTCCGCCCTGACAGCCGGCAGTCTGGGCTGCACTGGAGGTCATGGTCACTCCCGGGGGTAAGGTAGAGTTGACCTAAGTGAGGAGTAGTCAGACCTGGCTTCCGAACTCGGGCCATGGAAGGGTGGTGGTGTGCACACGAGCATGTACAGCTGCCCGTGGCTGTGAATCTGCCAGGACCAGCCTGTTTGAGAGGAAGTCGGGGTCTTTGTTGTAATGACTGACCCCAGAGGTTGACTCGCAGAAACTTTCCACCCTCGTCCAATAATAGATGGGTGGTTACCAGAGAACAGGCGTCACCTGGCAGAACTAGCAAGTCTGAGCGAAACAGCTGGCCGGGGTGGCATTTGGGGATCTTTGGGGTTCGGAAGGGCACATCTGGGTGCCCTTAGAAATCTGAGGGGTGGCATGGGGTGGCCTGGAGGTGGTGAGGATAACGAAGTCATGTGTATGGACGTGCTCTCTCCTGGCGCAGAACACTTCCAGCCGAAGCAGATCGTCAAGTCTCTCGTCCCTGCGTGGAACACACTGGTGTTCTTTGAAGTGTCTCCAGTGTCCTTCCACCAGGTAAAGGCTCTGAGCCGCCGCACGCAGCGCACTGAGGATCAGGCCTGCAGCCGCCCACTGTCTCACTGTGACAGCTTCCCCTGGGACAGACCCCGGCCTGGTGGTTCCCCCCCTGCCGTGGGGGATCGTGGAGCTTGGGCGCCTTGGCTGGCCGTCTTCCTCTTCGTTCTTGGCACTGACGCTCCGCTGCTCTTGTCCTTGCAGGTGTCTGAAGTCCTGTCCGAGGACAAGTCGCGTTTGTCTATAAGTGGCTGGTTTCACGGCCCCTCGCTGACCAGGCCTCCTACCTACTTTGAACCTCCCGTCCCCCGGAGCCCTCACGTCCCGAAAGACGTAAGGATCAGTTCCCGCCGCTGGGCCCTGGTCTCGGCCCTGTGACCTAGCGTGTGTTTCTGTGGCTCCGGAAGTGGCTCTCCCTGATAAGGAAGCCAGACGCGGAGCTTGCCCTTCCCCTTTCCGTAGATAAACTGTGGACAGGGCCCTCCTCAGGGAGTCTCCCAGCACTGTGTTTGACACGGAGACAGTTATAAACGGAGGATTTGCATATAGTGTGTTACTGCTGTGAGATGATGTAAGAACAAAAGCAGTAGGAGTGATTAACTCTCCTTTTGCATCTGCTGCTTCTTCGTAAGCATGAAATTCTGTATGAGTGGATCAACCCCACCTACCTGGACATGGATCACCAGATTCAAATTCAAGAAGAGTTTGAGGAACAGTCTGAGATTCTCCTGAAGGATTTCCTTAAGGTGGGTCCACACCTCCTGTCTGGGGTGCCCTGTTTGGCACGCAGTCTCGCTCCTGGGGCGGGTGAAGAGGCATCACCGAGGGGAGTTTTGTTTCTGGTTAGAATGTTTACATCACCCGCCACTTCAAATAAAATACAGAAGTGATGTTAACAGCTAACAGTGGTATCAGTTGCGCGCTTACTAGGTTGAGCCCCTGGGGTATTCCCCGGGTCTCTAGAATCTTAATGGTACACACACACACACAGAAGCTTGTATACTGAGAGGGAGTTGTGCGTCGTTCCCTGCCTATTCACTGGATGCCTCCGGTGCACTAGTGACAGACAGATGGCTAACTGATCAGCACCTGTTGATGAGTGTTCGGTGGTGATGAGGCAGCACTTTACGGTGGGGGGAGTCAGCCCAGGAGTCAGAGACTTTACTTTCATGTCCTGGCTCTGTGACTTCACTGGCCTGACCAATGGCTCAGTCCGCCCGCGCTTGCGCCCTGCCCTGTCCACCTCGGAATGTGCTGAGAGCCGAACGTATCCCTGCACGCTGGGGCGCTGCTTCGCGCCTGACCCCGAGTCCCACGGAACCACGGTCCCAAAGCTGTTCCTTCGTGAAGAAAAGGTTGACAGGCAATACATTCTCTCTCTCTCTCTCTCTCTCTCTGTCTCTGTCGTCTCTCAGAATTTTATGGCTGACATTAGTGTATTAAGGAATTTCAGAAGTATTGCAGGAAGTTGTTTAACCCTGTTTAATCCAGCTTGACCAAACCGTGCTCTGCGACCCTCTTCCCCTCGCAGCTGACAGGCCCACTGTTTCCAGAACGCTCCTCGGGCAGCTGCAGTAAGCATGCACGCAGCAGGCCTCCTGGGGAGGCTGTTTCAGCAGGTTCATCAGCTTCTTGGACTGAACCCGACGTTTCAGGTTCGCAGTGTTGACGGAATGGAGGGACCGAGAGCCAAGGCCTGGAGAGTTCGTGCTGCTGCACGGGTGCTCGCCGTGACGGCTGCGACTGTTTGCAGTTTGCTTCCCCCTCACATCTTGTGAATTAAGGAGTCTGGGTTACGATCCTCGTTAATAAATGAAGGAATTTTCAAGGTTAAGCGACTGGACACAAGACAAACAGCTGCTTAAGGAAATGGCCCAGACTGACACTTGGGTCCCTTGGCTACAGCGTGCTGACGATTTCTCCCGTCTTTGCCCTGGCTCCACCGCGCAGGACTGGGAGATGCTGTGTGAGACGGGGAGCGCCCGCTGACCCCTGCAGGAATCCGCCCAAGACTCCGCGGAGCTGCTGCACCTGTGAGACTAGTGCGGGGGGGCCCGGGAGATTTGCTGACTGCTTTTTCCATCTGCTCGTTTTGCAGCCTGAGAAATTTGCAGAGGTCTGCGAGGCTTTGGAGAAAGGAGGTGTGAAGTGGAGCAGCCGCGGTCCCCCTAACAAAAGGTAGAGCCCACCATCCAAGACATTCGCTCCTGCATTTGGCACTTGCCCGTGTGTCTGCAAGGCTTGCCTCCAGTAATGGAACACAGGCCCTCGCAGCGTCTGGTTCCCAGGGACACCCAGTAGCAGGCCCGGCCAGGACCTCACCATTGGGACAACATAGGCTTTAGTGAGCTGTGCCAGGCACCAGGGAGAGAGGCACCACGCTGACAGCGGGCTTGCCTCCGTGAGTAATGTCACGTCCGCGGCGCTCATGGGAGCTGCCATTGCTGCTTTCCAGGTTTTACGAGAAAGCCGAGGAGAGCACACTCCCCGGCGTCCTGAGGGACTGCATGACATTGTTCCGCTCCGAGGCACTGTTCTTGCTGCTGTCCAACTTCACGGGCCTCCGGCTTCACTTCCTGGCCCCTTCCGAAGAAGGAGGGATGGAGGACACAGCAGAGGGAGAAGCGGCCTCTGCTGCAGACAGCACGGACGAAGGGACCAGCTGTAGCCCCTCCGAGCCACAGGATAGTTGGGCGGCCGTCTGCAGCGGCAGCAGCCGGCGGAGCAGTGAGCGGACAGACCCAGAGCCAGAGGAGAGCGAAGCCGAGAAAGGTGAGCTGCAGTTATGGCTTGTCCTGGTTCTCCGTTACACACTCACCACTCAGTCACTTGCTCCATGAGTACCTCTCAAGCACCTACCGTCTGCTAGGTCCTGTTTCAGGAGCTGGAGAATGAAACAGGCGAGGCCCTTGCTGTCCTCGACCTTGCGCACTGAAAGGAGAGGACAGATTAAATGCATACACCAACAATTGGAAAACATCACATAATGACAGTGCTACGCAGATCATTTGCACAGGGTCTTGAGCGGAGGAATGGCTGGCCGTGTGGCCTCTTAGGTGGATGGGTGTCTGGAAAAGCTGTCAGCTAAGCTCGGATCTGAGTGACAGGAAGGATCTGCGGGAAGAGCATTCCAGGCGGGGGGAACAGCGGGTGCGTTCTATCAGTGCGGAGAGTGGAGAGAGATGTGGCTGGCTTTGCCTACAGTTACTCTGAGGCACAAGACCATTGAGGAGAGCACAGTTTACTTCTACTATGGACCAATAACAGGCTAAGAAGAATACGCTGGAATTTGGACAGATAGGGAGAAGGAAATTATTAAAAACAGAGGAAAGAAAAATGAAAGAAATTTAAGAGGTAACGCTTCTGTGGAAATTTTGGCCCCATTAACTGAGCAGCTGCAAATTCAGTGTAAGTGTTACAGCACGTACAAAACAAATCTAGAAGTCCGTTCCCTGCTTCCACTCTGATTTCTTGAGAAGGACCCTGTGCATCAGAAGAGCAAAGAGAAGGAAGGGAAGCCCCGTGGAAATAAGGCCGGCGGTGTGAGGTAGACACCCACCACAGACAACGCGACTTCCGCTCCGTAGCCTCCCACCCAGCTGGCCTGTCGCTTTGGTCACCAAGATATTTAGAAAAACCAAAGTATTTCTCCACTTCTCTTCCTTTTCGGTTTCATTTTTATGGGAATCTGCAACTTGGAAGAAAATTTATGCGAGCAGCCAAAAGATGCTTTATTCTGTGGTTGAGCATCGACTGTATGCGAGGCTGTGGCCCTCGCGAGTGGGGAATACAGGAGTGGATGAGAGAAGCCACTGTTTGCAAAGTTTCCGATCTTAAAGGAAAGCTCTGAAGTCGCCGAGGCAGCTTTAGCAGTGTTAATGTTCGCATAGCTGTGGCATGTGGGTAGGGTACCCAGGCCTGACAATTTGAAGTTTTTGCTTTTTGAAATATATATATATATACAAACAACATCGGTTTCAGAGTGTTTTGAAAACCAGTAATTGTCGTTCCCTGGCAAAGTAGCAGCGCTATCAAGGTTATTTTAATATTTTCCTGATCTCCTGTTATTTTTCCCTAGAACCACGTATTCCCACGTGCCAGGGGGAACTGAGGCGCTGGAAGACTGGCCACTACACTTTAATCCACGACAATGGCAAGACCGAGTTTGCCCTGGACTTAATTCTCTACTGCGGCTGCGAAGGTAGGGGAGGGGGCGGGAAGCAGCTGATTGTTTCCTCCAGGGGGCGGTCTCTCCTGCGTGCCACTCTAGACTGAGCGAGCCCAGACGTCCTGGCCAGGTCGGGGTCTCTCACCTCAGGGGCTCCGTGTGGGCGGGATCCTAGGGGTCTCCCGACCCAGCATGGGATTCCTGGGTGTTCCTAGGGCATGGGAGAAGGCCCGGACTGTAATTCCCCTCCAGGGCCTCCCCCAACCGTAATCTATAGCTTTTGTGTAATTGCCCTTAAACTTTCCATTTAATTCTTAGTTCTCAGTTTCTATTTAACATGGATTGAGTGGTCATTTCAGGCTCATAAGTCATGGAGCTGGCTACACTGAACTCCCACAGTCTCCTTCCCCACCTCCCATTCACGCAGCAAGGGGTCGGGCTTTCAGCAGATGACTATGATTAACACTGGCCCTTCCCGCCCTCTGAACGCTGCCTGTTTTCCCCTCGTCAGGCTGGGAGCCCGAATACGGCGGCTTTACCTCCTACATCGCCAAAGGTGAAGACGAAGAGGTAAGTTGCTTCTGATATCAGACTGTCTTTTTAGTTTTGAGGACGCTTCCTTTCTTCAAAAAACCAGTTTTTATGGCCTTTGACCTGTGTCTCTAACTGATAAATCCACATTGGTCTACCCGGCAGTGTTCTGATTGATTTCTAGTAGAAAGTACTCAGCCTGGAATAGAGAAGCTAAAGGATGATCATTAAGCATTTAGTTAGTCTACCCTGAGAGATTCCAAATAAATGAAGAGTCACATGGTACACTCCCATTAACCTTCAGCGTGATGAGAAACAGACGCGTTAGGTAACACCTGTCTGGGCTTGCGCCGGCGTGGGGTTTGCTGGGAGAGGCCGTGGCAGCCGCAGCGCCGGCTCTTGCAGTGGAGGCTCCACGGAAGCCTTCTTCTGCTCAGTGACGACGAATCACTGAAGCAAAGAGTTGAGGATAAGTTCTGTGTTCTATGTGCCCTTGGGTTTGCCTGTTTCAGCTGCTAACGGTGAATCCAGAAAACAACTCTTTGGCGTTGGTCTACAGAGACAGAGAGACTCTTAAATTTGTCAAGCACATCAACCACCGGAGCCTGGAACAAAAGAAAACCTTCCCCAACAGAACAGGTTTCTGGGACTTCGCGTTCGTCTATTACGAATGACGGGGCCGGGCCCAGCTGGGAGAGAGAGACGCTGCGTCAGCACCGTCAGCACCGGGGAGTCTGGGAGAGCCAGGCTCGGAGCCCAGGGGAGCTGCAGGGGGCCTGGCCGACGCCGTCCCTGGAACTGCTCGGGGTTGTCCTTTCGTAGGGCCCCCAGAGCTTGTCCTCAGTCTGGACCTTGAGCTTGGAGGTGTATGTGCACTTCTCTCTTGACTGCAAAAGTGTCCCTTTTTCTTTAACATTCAGTTTTCTTCCTTTTGCATATGGACTTCTTCAGTGATTTCAAAATGTGGGTTTTTTGTAAAATATACATGACATAAATTTACCATTTTAACCATTTATAGTATGAGGTTCTGTGGCAGTGAGCACACTCACATTATTATTGTGCAGCCTTCCCCACCACCGTCTCCAGAACTTTCCATCCGCACAGACTGCAGCTCTGTGCCCATCCCCCTCTGCCGGCCCCCAGCAACCACCATTCATTCTCCTTTCTGTCTCCGAATCTACTTGTATTCCTCATGTAAGTGGACTAATGCAATATTTGTCCTTTTGTGACTGGCCTATTTCACTTAGCATAAAACCTTCAACATTCGTCCACGATTCCAGTGATTTTTCTTTGAATACACTCATACATGATTGCAGACCCTGCCCTTCCTGATGACACAGGTCTAGAGAACTGCAGAACTTACGTGTCCACTGCCTGTGGCTTTGTTGCGCTCTGACTTGCCCAGGACATGCACCAGCTCTTTCCCGGTGTTTGCGTTTAAACGACGGAAATGAGGTTCGCTTTCTTCTAGGTTAATGGTTTCATCCATTTTTTCTTAATCCTCACCTAAGGGTATGTTTATTGATTTTAGAGAGAAAGGAAGAAAGAGAGAAACATTGATTGCCTCCCATACACACGCCTACTGGGGATCAAGCTTGCAGCCTAGGCCTGTACCCTCACTGGGAATTGAACCCACAACCTGTAGGTGTATGAGACGGCACTCCAATCACCTGAGCCACCAAGCCCGGGCTCATCAATTACTTGATTTCACACCCCAGTCAGTAGAAATTGTTTTAACTTATGTGCCCATTATATGAATATTTATCTACACATTTTACACATGTACTAACATTCAGTATTGTTATAAAACAAACACTGATTTTTTAAGGGATAATCTAAAAAGAAGTACCTAAAACTAGTTCTGTTACCTTCCTACGTTCACAGTAACGGATGATTTCCAAGGGTACGATTTTGGAGACCACAATTTTTAAACCAAAGTGTAGTGACAGGTGAGATTACAGCCACTCTGTTAACTAATGATTTACATTTCAAAGCTTGCCTTTTAAGTTCCTGCAGCTGCAACAGCCATCCCTAAATTATTCCAATTCACTTACTTCCTGATGTGTTTTCCCGAGTGGGAGGGACTGGGGTTGAGGGTCTCCTTAGGCCCCGTGGGGCAGAACCCCAGGAATGCCCAAGGGAAAGCGCCAGGCGGGTGAGACCGTGGTGTATGCCAAGCTCGGGAGCAGCTTGCATTCCCGCCCTAGGTAACGTCTAAGAGTTACGTCTAACGTAATGTCTAACGTCCACCCGACTTTGCCAGTTCTGGAGCGCTGAGTTGGAGTCTCGGCACACTTCCCAAGGGTTAACGTGTTCGTGCGTTTCTGTGTAATCTCAGTGTGTCCATGGTCCGCCCACACAGCAGAGTGCCCCGCACATGACAAGAAGGAGCTCGCTGCCGAGGGGGGCGAACCCCCGAGAGCCAGACCCCGCTGTTGCTGGGAGTCCCATCGCCTGCGGCAGCCTCTCTTCGTCTGTGCAGGATGCTGCGTGTGACTCAGAGGCCACTCTCTGCGCTCCAGGTCCCCAGCGACCAGAAGCGGCTTTTCCTGAGTACTTCATTCTTCATCTCGATTTGTCATGTTGGGCTGGAGCCAGTGTTGACAACTAAGCGGCAAAGAGGAATATGTTCGCCCGGATAACATATGGCCTCTCCTCTCTTGTGGCTTGATAGTGAACCTCAGGTTCTCAGTGATTCCTTTCAGTAAAGGAAGACTGTTTTCCTCAAAGAGAATAGCTTTATATGTTCTTGAGATTCTATGAATACTACGTGTTCATGGAAAGGAATGAAAGCAACGCGTAAAAATAGAAAGTGACGGTCGCCTGGAGTCCCACCGTCCTGTGACGACCCCTGTGTGCGCTGTGTCAGCCTGGCTAGACTGGACTGCACTTCCCAGAATTCCCTGCCCCGTGCTTCGGTCGGAGCGAGCCACAGATTCTCAGGCAAGATCTGGAGGACGGGAGTGCACGTTCTTGTGTACTGGCTCACCTCGGCGGAGTCCGTGAGCATTGGGGCGTGCAGCCGATCCACTTCCTGTGCGTCATCCTTCAGCTTCTGTGATGAGTTCCTCCGTTTCTGTAGGACGCCCACCATGTCAAGGTCAGGATTCAGCAAGGACACAGATAACATGTCCTCATGAGCTCCAGCGTGTTCTGGTCCTTCCTGCGTTTACACCCTTTCCCACTGCCTGTCCCGTGGGCGTCCAGATCCAGCCTCAGACAGTGCGGCCTTCGGGAGACCACTTCGGCACCTCCTGTGGGTCGCGTAAGGTCAAATCCCCAAACCAAACCCTCCTCATAAGTTACCTATGATGGAAATTAAGAACATTTTCATAAAAGTCACTTTGAGAGCATGTTAGCATTTTCTGTTAAGAGGCAGAAAAATAAAAGATGGAAGGAAGAACCCTATGAACAATCTATAACTGCAATCCCCCAGCTGAAAGATGTAGAAAAGGAGGCCTAGAAGAGAAAGAGGCTGTTAGGTTTTGAACCTGGCTTTTCTGCTGCTTGGTGATTGTCTCCCAAAGTCTGCTGCGGGTGGTGGCTTCTGTCCCGCAGAAAGCCAACAAACACCGACCCTCGGGCTGTCTCTCCCAGACAGGCCGTTTTCCAACAAGCAGCTTTTGGCTGCGCTGTCTCTTCGGCGCCATCATATCCCTGCCACCACTCAGACTGAGTGAGAAACCACAGATCCCGTGGAAAGGGTCCTTGACAAAGTGACGGCTGAGGCCGGCTCTCCAGCCTTCCTGTACTACCAGGGGCGTCCAACCTGTGGCCTGCACGCGGCCCAGGATGGCTACAAATGTGACCCAACACAAGATCATAAATTTACTTAAAACCTTTTCGTTTGTTTGTTTTGCTCATCAGTTTTCATTAGTGCTTGTGTATTTAATGTGCGGCCCAAGACAACTCTTCTTCCGGTGTGGCCCAGAGACACCAAAAGGTTGGGCACCCCTATTCCTACAAAAACAGATGACCCCCTCCAATTGCTACAAAGTTAGTCCACAGAGACTGTTTTGAAAATGACTTAGGAGCCGTCCGTGTGGTATCATTTCAGGGGAAGCAGATTTCTGTAGCACGCAAATAGAAAGATAACTCAGGAGCCAGAGCACACAGCGTGGGCAGGGGCCAGATGGGAACGAGGCAGAGCTCGGAACGCCAGGATGCACGGGCGTCGTCTTGTACTTGAGTTTCAAGGCGGAATCGGAGATCATTTATTTCTGGGATCACAGGACTCTGCTTTGGCAGATTTGTCACTGCTAATGATAAAATCTGAAACTTTAATAATGTTAAAAATCATCCTTGTAAAGCCCTCCCAGCGTTGCATAATAGTGGTGAAGTTCCTAGTTCTTTACCAACAGGCCAACTGAGGACAGCCAGCCCCGTGAGAGCAGCAGATGCCGCCTGTGCAGAAGGCGTCCGCTCAGCACCACCGGGAGATAAAGCCGAGTACGAGGCAGCCCTGCCCTCCCTGAATGGGGGGTTAAGATCTATGTAAACACAGGATGTACTGAGGGCTAAGGGACAGACAAGGGCGAGGGAAAGCCTGAGCAGAGGGCATTTCAGCCGAGCCCTGACGTCTCTGGGTGGGCAGACATGGTGAGAAATAATCAACACCATTCTCGCTAGAAAATGCTGAGCACCGGGTGGTGGTGCCTCTTTAAAGGGGATGCACAGACCATTGACTGAAAAGCTTTCTCCCCGATACCAGAATTCTCGAGATCAGCTTTTACATTTTACATGGAGGCCAACTGTTTGCTGAAAGCTTCAACAAAACTCAGCAACAAAACAAAGCTTCCAGTGTAGCTTCCAGAAGGCACTCGGATTCTATTGGGGTAGAACAATAGGGAAGTACCTGATAACCAGTTTTTCTCATCCCTAAGCTGAGCAAGGTGACTTCTCAGATGAGAAAGGTAACTGAGTGTCTTAACAAACATTGTCACCTCGTCCGGTCTCGCTGGCGTGGGAGCGCACCGGGACAGCAGCAAGGGCTGTGGCTGCTCGGTCTGCGGCCTCCACACCACTCACCAGACGGAGCTCTGGGGCCCCATGGGAAACGTGCCGCCTCTGAGCTCAGAGACACTAGTATCAACAGGATCAACTGAATGTGAAAGTAAACTTAGAACCTGTAAATCGGGAGTATTAAAAAAAACATCTTCCTGGCTGGCATAGCTTGGACTGAGCATGGGCTGCGAACCAAAGTGTCGCAGGTTCGATTCCCAGTCAGGGTACATGCGTGGGTTGCAGGCCACAGCCCCCAGCAACCGTACATTGATGTCTCTCTCTGTCTCCCTCCCTTCCTTCTCTAAAAATAAATAAAATCTTTAAAAAAATCTTGCTGCAGGTTGATCCCTTCAAGCCTTGCCCATGAATATTTTTTAGGTTAAGAAGGAAGTATTTTGGCTGAAGAATGACAGAATGATCCTTCATTGGGTTATTCTGTTAGGGTCCCTAAAAATGGGAAGTGCCGTACAATTTAAAGCCAGCCCCCACGAGAGATTTCGGTCTCAGAGTGGGCTGTGGGTGAGACTGAAAAGGACTCAGCAGTGACTCCGGCCAGTAAGGAACCCCTACCCTTTCCATGTCCTCGGCTGTGAGGCAGAGGAGATTCTTTACTACTTCAGGGACCAGAGAAGATAACACAGCAAATGTGGATGTCTCGTGTTTACAGTTTGAAAATGCAAAAAAAAAAAACCAAAGGTATTATGAGGCATAATCTCATTGAGATCAGGACTCCACAAAGCTCACCTTGCAGAAACGGAAGCGCTCGTCCTCAGTGGCGGATTGGAGGAAACTAATCGGGTTCACCTGCCACTGAGGAAAGGCCCCTCCCCCTCAACCACTCCCGAATGCTCTTCAGCTGTGAAAATGGACCAAACCAGTCCTGAAATCTATCTTAAGGCAAAACTTGAACTCTTAGGAACTCTTAAGGAGTTGCCAGCCGTCGGCCCAGCCTCGGCGTTCTCGCCCCGGCAGGCGCACAGCTGGGCCGCATTTGCAGGCCTCGGCAGGCCAGTGCGGCCACGTGAGCTCCTGGAACTCACGTGGGAGTTCCTCATGGGAGTGGAAATGAGAGTGGGCCCCTTCCAAACCACAGCCTTGAGAAGCATTTCCTTTCGTGCCAGCTTGGGCATGAACAACGGCAAGACCCTAGACAACCCTTCCCCAGCAGGGTCTCCAGTGAGAGAGGGAAGCCCCAAGGCTACGAGGTCTTCCCGGGGTGCAGTGCCTGTGGAAGGGTCCCCGCCCCCCAATCATTTTCCCAAGGCTAAGAAAGGCCACCCTGGAGGGTAACACAGCCCTGTGATGAAAGGAGTCCGGGTCTCTGAATGACCCCAGAGGAATGCTGACGTCCTGAGAAATGAATGGGTCCTTAGGCACTCGGAGGTCCGTTTCAGCAGTTAGCGCTACTCCAACCGACAGATCACTCGGGACTCGGTGCAGCCTCCTTGCCCCTGCCTTTAATCAGTGATTACAGAGAAGGCACACATGTGCAACGTGCCTATTTGTCCCTCCACCTACTACAAATGGTTTATGCGATTCCGATGTGGTGGTGATTTTAAAATCAGTCAACACGAAGTGCAACACTTTTAAATTTTAATGGAAAAGTAGACAATCTATTTTAAAGTCACAAATTCAATTACAAGGAAGAAGATGTATCTATACACAACTTTACATACGTACAGAAATACTGGACTTCGAAGCCCTAATGTTCCAAAAGGATTCACCTGTCTCCGTGCAAACCTGGTGTTAGTCGACAACGGCACTACTGATCTTAAAACTAGAGAGTGAATACACTGTTCAGATGCAATGCTTCGTCTCACGGGCACCACTCCCCAAGGCTGTTTTCACTCAGCGCCCTGGGTTCGCCGGGGCAGGATCCACAGGAAACCGGCCTGGATTTTCAGGGAAACACACCTCCCAGGAGCTCCGTCGCCTGCACGTCCCTCTCCTAGGAAGATGCCGTCCCCACCCGCATGACTCTGAACAGCGTGCTGATGCTGTTGCTCCTGATGGCGTCCCGACAGGCGGCGATCACCTGGCTCTTCGGCTTGCCGACTGCATGAGAAGAAAGCTCGGATCAGTACAGTCTAAAGGGTTAAGGAAAGGGCAACGGTAAATCAGAGGCCAGCTTTCAAGCATCGGAAAACCAGGGCGAATTCAGATAATGGATCCTCCCACTCCCTAAAAAAGATACCTTTGTGAGGAGGTTTATCACAGACCAGGCCTGGAGCCCATTTCAAACCTAGAAATCAAAAGTCACTTTCACAGAAAAGGATCAAAGCTCACACCCACCCGCCAAAGATGATTGCTAAAAGGAGGTCAAACCACTGAGCCCAAACAGCAGATTTCAGGTATAAATCTCTGGCTCTATTTTTTGCTTCCTTTGGCTTACTGTGTGGTTCTTCTTCTAACTTCTATGTTGGACACTGGAGTCAATAATTTTCAGTCTCCTTCCCCTCCACCCCATTTTTTGTAATAGGGGTACGTAAGGCTGTCCTCTTGGGGATCTGCCACCAGGTTCTTTAGGGGACACAGCAAGGTCTAAGGGAAGGAGCTAAAAGCTTTCTTTTCCTTTGAAATCTGGACACTAATTAAAGCCAAACAACTGCTGACTGAAACTCAAGTGGTACCAACTGGAGTATTAAAAATATTTTTTTCTTTAAAGATTTTATTTATTTATTTTTAGAGAGAGGAGAAGGGAGGGAGAAAGAGAGGAAAAGAAACATGCATGTGTAGTTGCCTCTCAAACGCCCCAGCCAAGGACCCAGCCCACAACCCAGGCAGGTGCCCTGACTGGGAATCAAACCGGCAACCTTCAGTTCGCAGGCTGGCACTCAACCCACTGAGCCTCACCAGCCAGGGCTGAAAGTATCTTTATAAGAGATACAGGCTCCAATATGGATTCTTGGAGCTACCGCCACCTTCACTGGTTCTCACCCCCAAATTACTAACAACGGTGCTACAAAGAGACTCACCGCGCAGACGACCTGCTCTTTGAATTGCTTGATTGACAGCTTTGAGGTTCCCCAACAGCTCTGTGTGATTGTTACAGCGAATTTTATACCCATTTAGCAAGTCTTTATTAAGGTCATAGAGCTCCATGTAGCGATTCTTCATTGCTTTCCTGTGTGAATCAAAGAAATTTGGCATCATTGCACCTTACTGGCAGACTCAAATGAAAACACTTGCAAACTTCTTAGACACATAAAGAAAAGCTGTACTGTCATCAGAACAGGAAAACTACGAAAGTTTGCTTTGAAAACACTGAAACGTTTCTATTGAAACAGTCTATTTCTTCTAAATAAATGGAAGACAAGTGGTCTTCCTTTGTTATTGGTCCAGAGTTTATTGGAGTTCAGGAGCCAAGAATGGCCTGGTGCCCCCTGTGCCAGGGGTCGGGGAAAAGGGAGTAAGATGAGAGCCTCCCTTCCAGGTTTCGGGTTAACATTTGTTGGACAAAGTGTGCTAGACCTGCCCGTATCTATTCTCACCTGTCTGTCATCAAAGGTGACACACATTCAAAAACTTCATGGGACAGATGCGCGTGAGCCACGTGGAGAAGAAGGGCATGGCAGCATCCCAGGAGCCTGCCACTGTGTTCCTTCCGAACACAGTCCCCCCTCCCCCGGACGAAATACCAGCTCCGGTCCTCTCTTCCCCGCGTTTATACTTTCATCATCTACGTATGCTTCCCAAACAATACAGTTCAGTTTCACCCATTTCCAAACTATAAATACGTGGAGCATTTTGTGCACGGTCTTTTGAGCCCTCCCCCCTCACCCTCCGTTGTGTTTGTTAGATTCCCCCCACGTCGGCGTGCGTCACTGAGATACGTGCCCCTCCCTGCGAGGAGCGTTCCGCTGTGTGGGCGTAGCATGACCTCCCGGTTACACTGTCAATGCTGCTTTGGACTGCTTCCACTCTGGGGTTCCTACGAACACTGCCCGTATGAGCACTCTTGCACAAATGCCCTGGTTTATAAGTGCCATATTTTTCTAGGTTATAAACCGGGAGAACTGCTGGGTCGTAGGGTGTGCCCATTTTCAACTCTACTGATAACGCCAAGTCATTTTTAAAGTCGCCGCACCGATGACACTCCTAGGAGTAGCGTCGGAGAGCTGCTGTTCCGTGCGGCTGACCTGTTGCTCCTTGCAGCTGTGCCAGCCCCGGCAACTACTCACATGTCCTTCATCAGACGAGCATCCTCAGCTCGGACCAGCAAACTTCGGATCAGATTGGAATTGTCAGCCATGTCGGCACTGAGCTTCTGGTGCACCGAATGATACTCATCCACCTGGAGGCCGCGGACATGGGAGTGGGGGGGTGGGGGGGTGTGTTTAAAAAGCCTCCCAGGCTCCTTGCAAACCAGACAGACTGAGAAGACACTGTCTACCGTACACCATGGCCCTCTCCTTTCCCCTGCTGACTGGACCCTCTCAACCGCCCACGAGTCACCTCCTCCCCAGGGAACTGATGAGTCTGGGCTGTCTCCAGCACGCGAGGTGGCCTTCCGTTGGGACCCTTTCTGCGCCCTCACGTGGGAGCTCTGGCAGCTGGTTGCCACAGCTCAGAGATTTGGGGTGGGAACTACTCGGTTCTAATTTGGGGCCAGTCGCCATCATTATTTTTCCTTTTCCTTTTGAATCTGCGTCGTTGGAAAGCACCACGCCCCAGCGCAAAGTTGATGCGACAGACAAGGTGAAAGGTCAGCAGAACACACTGCTGACCTATATTTTTAAAAAGCCTTCTCCCAAATCAAACAGAGAAGGCAGGGTGGTCAAGAGCTAACTACTCACTGTTGGAAAAGAAATGCTTTAGTGAACTGTCCCGTTTTTTATTTTAAGAATTTGCAAAATTCTTTAAAACATGAGCATCATATAACATACATATAGTCCTAGTACCACTGATCTAAGAGAAACATTTCAAACATTATTAAGCCACCACGTTCTTGTGAAAGGGTCCCACCAGGTGTCCTCACCTTAACCAGCACCTTCCGTAATTCCTCGAAGTAGGCAGGGAAATCCGCTTCCACCTGGAGGTCTTCAACTGCAAAAAATGAGGCCATCGACTGGATGATGTCACCGGCCAAGTCGATATCATCGGTATTCACAGTGATCTCCCCAGGGGAAAAGAGACGAGGTTAGCATCCTTGGATACTAAAGACAAACCCAGCGAACACAGAGCCTGAATTTACCCACATTCAACACGTTTGTTGAGCATACATTCAAAGGTGGTGACGAAAACAAAGACAGGGTTTAGTCCTTAAAGAAAGGACAAACCACGTTCACTGTTTCTGGTAGCAGGCTAGAAGATCAGTCCTTCAGCCTTACAGAGTGAACAGCAAAGTCATGCGAACAGTGAACACGTTTCTGGTCACCTCTGCACTCCTAACCCTCCCCCAGCGAGACAAGGAAGGGCTGGGGGGAGGGAGGAGGCGGGGAGGCAGGAAAACGCAGCTCTGGGCTACAGCCCGGTGTCTGAGATGATCAGCAGGACCCAGGTGAGTCAAAACACGTGGCGTGATGACCTTGAGCCCAGGGTCACCCGCCTCGCTCACACTGCGTGGTGAGCACGACGTGAGAGATCTGTGTCCAAGACATTCAGCGGTACCTCTCCACTCGGCTTTATCTTTATGGCCAGCGGGCTGCCGTTCCGCAGGGAGGTGAAACACACTTGGAAGGGGGCGTGCTGAATGCTGGTGTCCTCAGGGAGCAGGAAGTTCTGGTTGAGCCATATCACCACCTTAAAGGGGAACAGGGTGCCGTGAACCTCCATTTTTTACAGCACAGCCGTTGTTCAGAGTCCTCCTGCTTTCTCGTGTCATCGCTTGGAAAACAAACAATTGTACGCACCCCCCCACCCCGGTCCACCACCACCACCACCACCACCAAGAAAACACCAGCCTCAGCCCCCCTTCCCTCTGCCTGCACGTCCTTAAGGAGCGTTCGTGATGGCGTCTGGCCCCACTGCAGGCACGATCTAACAGCATTTTCAACTCAGACGTGATCTCGTATGTTGTGGAGAAGCAATTCAGGGATGATGCTAACTCTGTTTACAGGAGAGCTCTTCTGTGGCTATGTCCTGGACAATGTAATCTGCCCAAAATTATTCCTGGCCATTCTTTTAAAAAATTTTTAAATGGAATATTCATGTACACACAGTACAGACACCAGGACACATCCACACAATAAATTTTAAAATTAAAATAAGAATAGAGTACTTCACAGTGGTTTGCAATACAGGTTCCACATAAGAACCACCACGAAGGGCCCCCCTGTCGAGTTTCTGGCTCCACAGGCCTGGCAGGGGACTTGAGAATCCACACGACTGAAAAGCCTCACTAAGAATTCTGACGTCAGCCATGGTTCAAGTCCACGGGTATCAGGCCTTTCCACTGGACAAGGTGCTGTCACACCAATTACGTAATCTTCAGGGGCCCCGTGAGGTAAGATATCCCCACAGATAAGGAAACTGAGGCTCAGACTGGTGAGGGGCGTTTCCCCCAAATCACTAAGAATTTAATTAAATTCTAGGCTAAACTGATTAGTTAAGGTAGCATTGGAACCCCCAGATGTTCCCAGCTCCGAGTCCACCTCTCCTCCACGCCGATGCAGGCTCCTCTCGAAACCCCAGGTCAGGACACCCACGCTAGGACCACAGCCACCGGGGCATTACAACTGGTGAGCACTCACCTGTAACGGAGGATGGCTCAGGTACAGACGGTGTGTTTTTTCCCAAAGTGAGAGGGGGTATTTTAGCAATGTTCGGTTACAGGATACAAACCACCTCCAAGCTACATAATACATGTCATACTTACGGCTACCAAATAACTCATTCGTGTGAGTCCTCCCTCCTGAGAAGTAACATCCGCGGGGTTCTAAAACGCAACAGAATGGAAAGAGGAAAGCCAGATGCTCACCCTCTGGGCCCGCTCTGCGATGGTGAAGTTGACGTACCCCAGCGGCTGGCTGGCGGAGCCGGGGCTGGTCAGCGCGTACATGGAGAACCGCGGGAGCTGCCTCGTCAGCTCGAACACGTGGAACTGGGTGCTGTGGCCGACCAACGGAACAGGGAGAACCGAGTCATCAAGCTGATGTTTAAGGGTCACAGATGGAAAAAATCCCCCAAAACTGTGGGGTTAAATTGCCACAATAACAGGGTTGCGGATTTGGAGGTAACATGAGTCTATAAATATGTGTACACGCACCAAGAATTTAAAACACCCTAAAAAAATGTGAAAGGCTTCTGTCTTCTACACATCCAGTGGATTTTTCCCATGAGCTGGGGTTATGTACAACTCATATAAAGATGCAGCCCAGTTCTGGCTGGCGTAGCTCAGTGGATTGAGCACGGGCTGCAAACCAAAGTGTCTCAGGTTCGATTCCCAGTCAGGGTACATGCCTGGGTTGCAGGCCATGACCCCCAGCAACCACACGTTGATGTTTTTCTCTCTCTCTCCCTCCCTTCCCTCTCTAAAAATAAATAAATAAAATCTTTTTAAAAAAAAAGATGCAGCCCAACTCTCACAGTCTCAGAGGTCAAAACTAGGAGTCAACAAACCATTGATTAAACACATTTTTTGAACTTTTGTAATTATAAAATTATGAGACTAAAACCAGAAAATAACCCTCTTAAATACCCACCCCCTCCTTTTTGGGGAAAGATTTCAAATTAGAGAAATAAGGTTCTGGGAAACCTTTCCTGGGCAGACAGACCCTTCGATGGCTTCTGCGGCCCCCGAGGGTCCCCGGCACAACGGAAGAACCCACACATCCTGCCCTCCTCTCGGGACCGCCTGGAAATACACTGTGACTGGCAGAGGGTCACCTGCTCCTGTAACCCACGAAGGTTTTCAGGTGCAGGTCCACCGGCACGTCCTTGGGAGGCGTGATCGGGATGCGGATGGAGCTGGACAGGCTGTGGGGGCTGGGGTGTACCACGTGGCTCTCGCCCAGAAAGATGCCCTCTGCAAAGATCAAGACCGCCCGGATGATGGTGTCTGCAGGGAGAGAGGGAACGGCAGGCAGTTCGAGAGCCACCCTCTGAGGCAGCCCCGGCGCCGACACACGCTCCCTGTAGGTAATGTCCTACCGTTGGAAGTGGAAATGCACAGTTCCGCGTGAGCGGCCTGCGTCTCGCTCCCCAGGTTGACCGAGAGGGCGGTGTGGAGCTTGGTGTTGGCGGGGATGACGCCCCGCTGCCCGTCGGCCTCACTCGGGGCACTGCTCACCTCCACCTGACAAACAGCCCCCCAACCCCGTGTCCAGCTCAGTCAAGTCAGTCACCACGGGGAGGGATGCCACTTTTAAATACTGTGGTCATTCTGCTTCAACAGACACGCTCTTCATCTCATTCTATCCATCTGGTGTTTCAGACTTCAGAGGACTCTCCTCATTAGCGCCCCCTTGCGCCGCCCAGCCTTTTCCCAAGTGAAAATACCCTTGTCCCCTTCTGTGTACCCATCATGCCTTTCCCATCGTTTATATTGTTCTTTGAAAATAACGGAACAAAATTTATTTAGCATAGCGAATTAAAATACGGTCACACATGACGGGACAAATGACAATGCCACTCGCCCACTCATCCTCCAGCCCGCCTGGTACATGCGTGTACAGACGCACACAGAGGTCCCTGTGGCTGTCACCGTTTGTGTTGCTTGCTTTGGAAAAGGTAAGAGATGCTCCACACCTATTGTTCCTCCTTTTCACTTCACACCACACTCACCCTCCCGCATCAGCCCAAGTACATAGACTCCACTCTACTGAGCTGCTCCTCACTCCCCGGCACACATTCCCCATCACCGGTCACCATCTAGGCTGCTGCCCGCTGGGCACTGCTGACCACGGGGCTGCAGGAAATGGACCGCTGGTGCACTGCCAGGAAGTGGGATTTCCAGACGAAAATAAAAATGCCCTGTCCATTCTGACCCAGGCCAGAAAGGCCGAAGCAGCCCGCACTACTGCCAGCAGGCGGGAGGGAGCCCGTGTGTCCAGTCGGGGGACTCCGACAGGCTCCTCCTCCCACACGTGCCGCTCCTCAACTGCAGACTCCACCCCCCTCCCCACTGGACCCCACCTTGGCATTGTCCTCATAGTTACGGAGTTCCAGCAGCAGATTCTGTTTCTTCTGACTCAGCTCCCGGATCAGGTCCTGCTCCACGCTGGCGTCCACGAGGTTCCCCCTCATCTCGTCCGAGCCTGGCAGGTAGCCCCGGACTGAATGGAAGAAACGAGCCCTCACCACACGGAGGAACCTGCCGCGTCTAGCCAGGTCTACTGGGACATCATCCGTTACCTGGTCTTAGGGACCAAACACCTAGGTTCTCGTTCCCCCACCTTTGGGGCACTTACTCGGATGGGAGGGGATCTATGCGAACACTTTGGAGTGGGGTTTCCCGGTGTTCTGACCAATCAATCGGACTGAAAACCTGACTTCCCGAGGATCCCCCGCCCCATTTACTCTCGCCGTCCACGGAGCAGCAGATCAACTGAACGCGGCCGTCCCCGCAGTAATCTCCCTCCACCACTCCAGCGATCGCGGCGGAGAAGTTGTCCTTAAAGATCACTTCCCCGGTTCGGTCACTTCGAGCGTCGACCTAAAAATGAAACGAGCACTTGGAAAATCGCTTCCGCCGCCGTTTTTAAAAAACACGGAAACTTACAGGTCATTTAGTTTAGTGGTCCCCAGCAGTACTCCATGGCGCCCCCTGGCTGCTGAGGAGGCACCTTTGACCCCTGGGGCCTGAGGGGGCCCTAAGAGGCCTTCACCAGCCGTGATTTCTTCTTTCTAAATAAGCTGTTTTACAATTGGCCTTTATGTTCTAATTCGTTTGGATCAACAAGTTAGCTGAGAGGCAGGATGTATAACACACAGTGCAAAAGTCCAACCTGCCCAGGTTCCGGTTCCAGGTTTGCCCTTCCTACCTGGGGGATCTTGGGTGAGTTTCTGAAACACCCTGTGCTTGGCCTCATCATCGGGGATCAGTGACAGGAGTCTGAGGGCACCAACTGCACCTGCACCTCACGGGGCTGGAAGGAGGCCTTGTGGGGTCAACCCAGGGAGAGCTCTTAGAACGGGGCTGGCACGCATCGCTGTGCAAGAAATGCCCTGCCCAAAAATGCTCCCTTCGTTATACACGAACGCATGAAATACGGTTCTATCTAAAGTCTGAAAATGCCAAACCTTCCGTCACAGATCCAGCCTGTCACAAGGCCCTGTGTAAGAGTCCTTCTTGCCCTGGCTGGCGTAGCTCAGTGGATTGAGTGCAGGCTGCAAACCAGGCATCACAGGTTCGATTCCCAGTCAGGGCACATGCCTGGGTTGCAGGCCATGGTCCCCAGCAACCGCACATTGATGTCTCTGTCTGTCTGTCTGTGTGTGTGTCTCTCTCCCTTCCCTCCCTTAAAAAAATAAAACCTTTTAAAAAAAAAGAGTCCTTCTTCCCCATAAAAACTACTGAGACGCCTAGTGGGTCCTCCTGTCTTCCTCAAGTTTCCTCTTCCTAATAAGAGAGGCAGATACATCACCAGCTCATCAGAAACAGCAATGAAAAGGGGCCACTTAAGTAAGGATGTTGTTCTAAGCAGGAACACGTGTATCGTCCATGAAAGGCAAGCTACAGAAAGTCTGGTAGAGGTCGTCTCAGTGACCAAGGCCTATCGCTGCTTTTGCCTTTTCATCAACATCCTTCCATCAAGACTTTGCAATGAGCATATAAAAGAACTGAGGTCACAGCCTGCTCCCGGTCCCTACCCTTTGTCTGGAGAATGTCACGTGCACGCACCCATGCTATTACCAGCAGCATCGTGTAAGCCCAAAGCTTAAGGATGCTAAAGCCTGTGGAGTATTGAATGGCCTGTGTTTTCCCAAAGCTCTCACCACATCAACGGAACCCACGCACTCCCACTGCACCGAACTTGCTGCTTTCTGCTAGCTGCTTGAAAGCCTTCAGCCCTGCATTTCCACATCTAGCAAACAAGAGCATCGGTCGCTAACTTAGAAACAAGACTACAAATTAGTATTTCTGTGGGTCTTCTGTTCTTTGGCTTTATTCAACATGGAAGCTTTGCCCTGGAGGAGAGGATGGGTCTCTAACTCAATAGATAACCTAGCCCGGGGTGGCTCAGTTGCTTAGAGCATTGTCTCAACACATCAAGGTTGCAGGTTCGATCCCTGGTCAGGGCACATACAAAAATCAACCAATGAATGCATAAATGACTGGAACAACAAACTGATGTTTCTCTTTCTCTCTCTCTAAAAAAATAAATGAAAAAAAAAAACTTGAACTTCCACAGACATTTTTTAAAGTGACCTACTAACAACAAAGTTAATTGGCTGGTTACATTTATTTAGTCTCTTCGCACCTACATAAACATGTTATATCTGTATATTTTCCTTCTCTGTGCTAGTTCTGCCAAGTGGAGATATCAGTTTTTCTACTTATGTAATGAACTGTGTAATTTTATTATCTTTTTTTAAAGCTTTGGAACAGATTATATAATAGAAATTCCTTGGTATTTTGAAAGTATTTAACTATTAAAACATCTAGGCCCAGAGTCCTATTTGGAAGTAACTTTTGATAACTTCTGAATCTAGTAATTCCTAATTCCTGAATCAATCAATAATTTATATTCCCCTGGAATATGGTCCATTTTACGGATTTTCAAGTCTCTTAGTATGCAACTACACAGTCTTCCCTTACCATTTTTAATACCCTCAGCAAAGACAGAACCCACTGTGGAAGCAGGCACCAACGTAAGAGCAAAGGGAGGCTACAGGGTCCCGGCCGAAAGTAAAGGAAAGTTGAATAAGAGAGGATGAGCTGACCGCCAGGCAGCCGGACAGATGAGAAAGTTAGGGCAAGTGGTATCCATGGAGACCTGGCAGCTCCTCCGGCCGTTTCCAACAACACAGTCCCGACTTGCCAAAAGACTGCAGAAAATTCTGATTTGAAGTGAATAAAAGGAAAGAACGCAAAAAGATTTTATTTTGAAGTTACAGCTGGGGAAACATTATTCCCCTTAATTCCAGGCTTTCAGTCCATTTGCAGGCTTAATAGAAAAGGGCCATGCAAACAGTTCTTTAGGAGCTCATTCAACTTCCCTGTCGTGCTGGTCGGGGCCTGGGGTCAGCCGGGCGCACGTCTCCCCCTCCTTCAGGGAGGGGACTAGGACGGAATCCCCTGGGGAGCACCGCCCACCCAGACGGGACCACGAGGCCCGAAGGACGCTCGCTCGCTGGGCAGTGCCCACGACTAAAGCAGGGAGAGAGGTGCGGGAAGGCTGAGGGCGGGAAGTCTGAAAGCACCTCCGAGGAACGCGGGTGTGGGTCCTCGTGCCACTGTGCCGCATCACACGGCCAGCGCGTCCCAGACAACCACCACTTCGAACTGCGCCGGAACACGCGGCCGCTCACACTCACCTTCCCGTTGGACCACCCGGTGATCAGCTCACACACTCCGTCCGCGTCGAGGTCGAAAGCGTGAATGCTCACGGCGTGGTTTTTGGACTGAAAAGGAATTCCCGCAGTTAGTGCAGACGCCTCTCAGGGGGCGCCAAGTCCCTGCGTGTCGGAGGCCGAATCACACACTCACTTTAATTCGCCAGTAGCGGGCTGTTTTGTCATAGACTCCCACCGTGCCGTTGGAAAGGGCATAGCCAAACCGACTGCCGTACATGGGGCAGAGGGAGGTGATTATCTGCAAAAATAAAAATAAAAATAAAAACATAAAAATACAACAACTTTTCATTAAGGCTCAACTCCATGTGAAGTATGTCTTTATAAAACTGTGTGTGTGAAAACCGGATTTCAATGCCCTTCCATTCCACTCGTAGGGAAGGTATCCTCTTCTCTGTGACCCACCTTATCTGTCTCAGAGGCTGGGTAATCAGAACTAAAGAAACTCGCAAAGTTTGCCATCTGAGATCGAGCTTACGTGGCAAGTTTCAGCAAATTACAAAAAGAAATAAAATTGAGGGGTAAGGGAGGAAGTAAGCTGAGTACACAAGATCTAGGGAAGGTACAACAGGTGTTATACACCCTAACTCAAAAAAGTTTTCATGATTATTCCAATTTCCTTCACTTGCAATATCCCATGGTCTCAATGTTAAAAGGACTTACAAAATCCACAACTGAGTATGTTTTATGTGTATACTTTTCTTTCTCTGACATCATTTGTTTGCTGGAAATGAAAGATATTTGTCAGAGAAAAACATAATCCTTCCAAGAGTGCAAATCCAAGCATGTGCTTCTGTGCACGTATGTGACCGTATGCAGAAGCGCACGTTACACAGAAATGTTTACAGGACTGTTCTGGGATTCAGCATCTCAAAAGGATGCATTTTTAGATACTAAACGAAACTACCTTTTAAGTTGAAACCAAAGCTTAATAACCTTTATAATCCTGCAGAACTACAGTGCTCATTCCAACCCTAATACCAGATAATAAGAAACAAAGTGTATAAAGCAGAGAATAGTTATGTAATTTCCTCTATGCCTACAGCTTTTCTACAAAACCGCCCACATCACACAACTCTGAATACAGAGTGCTGTGCAGGATTCAGAATTCTCTCACCCGGGGCATGAGTCCGACTGCACTGCCAACAAACTGTCATTTTGCTGATCTGGGAAAAGGCGTTTGAGCTAGGGGCAAGGTCAAACGGAGAGGACAGGAAAATGGCCCTGAGACGAACCGTTTTATAAAGCCCACATTTTCATAAATTTGGGGCCCAGACTCCCTAGGGTCCCCTAGGCCGTCCTTAGTTCCCTTGTCTCTTTCTTCTGTGGACCAGAGGATCCATGGTCACCGGAAAGCCCCAACTTACTTCACGTTCTCCTGGCCTGTTCCAGGACGTAAGGAACAGGTGTCTCAAAGAATGAAACCCCCTCATATCTGGTGTTGACAACAAACAGAAATCCAACAGAACCGGACTGATTCCCAACAGATAGGGAAAGATTCACTATAAACTTGAAGGACAGGGAAAGGACAGGGCAGCCACAGCACCTGCGGGCTGGCGACTCTCAGGCTGATATTTCTTTTGGGGGGGGAGGGGGTCAGATGAAGAGGTGGCAAGCCCCTTTAAGAATCTACTGAGGGCCGAGGACCCTCTCCGCACATAAAACAGAACCCCCTGTACAGGCACATCCTCCCACTGCTGCTTTTGACACTCACGTCCCTCGTTCCTTTCCCCCTCTGTCCGTAACCATGACTTTACAACCACAGTAGTTGCAAGTATCGAAAAAGGAAGACTATGTAAAAATCCATGGCTCTCGCTGCAGGATAAAGGCCAATTAGTTAAAACCATCGGTAGCACTTTATGTACATCAGTACCCAAGTCTGCCTTCTGGCCTCCTCCGCAGTTAGGGGAGGAGCAGCCTCGCTTCTGTAAGTGGCGGGAAGCGAGGACGAGTGGTCAAGTGCGGGTGTGAGGCCCGACTCCCAAGCACCAGCCGCCGACGTCTGTAGAATCCCGCCATCCTGACCTCTCCGATTCCCTTCTGTTTGTTTCTTTTTTTTTTTTTTCTGTCCATGTGCAATGCCCACAAGCTACTGCTCCTTTATCCTCTTCATCCTTAATTCAGAACAGCCCAATTCTTTTTTCTGTTTCCACCGCCCTCAGCCCTGGGTCTATCCAGGAACGCAAAAACTGTAACGGGTAAGGGCAATCTTAGGTGCCACTTTAAAAAACTGAACTTTAAATCCTTTAGGAAACATAGCTGGTTCAATTACACGAAGTAATTCTAATAATCACAAAGAAGCCAGCCCAGTTCTCTAGCGTCTAACGTTTACGTTTACCTACAGAAACGTGCCTCAGAAGTACTTACTCTGAATGAGGAGAGAAAGTCTAAAAACCTCATTTATGCACTCCCTCCAATCCTCCCATTTAGTAGACGTGAGGAGGAAGGGGAGGAAGACAGGGCACAAAGGTTCAAATCCTGACCAAGCCACTTCAGAGCCCTGACCTCGTGTGTGTACTTTAACAAAGAAACTTCACGTCGGTTCCACCTGTGAAATGGGAACAGCGGTACTTCCTCCCTAACAGGACTGTTGTAGGGTTCCATGAGTTAGCTCGTGGGAAGCTCTCAGAACAGCGGCTGGCATGTATTAGGTGCACGATAAACAGCTGCCATCATGATGATGATGATGATGATGATATAACTCATTACAAGAAATGCCTTTCTGCCCAATAATCTTCCTCTATTTCATCCGTCTTTTCAAGCTATCTGCCATACAAGATTTTTAAACGCTTCTTTGTAGCTTTGTAGCGTACAGCTCTGTTTACTGCCCCCAGCCCCCCAGTTTTTACCCCAGGACTGTCTGGCCTGTGAGCCGATGCCCCAGCCTCCTCATTTGCTGTTATGTCTGACTGTGCCGACCTATGGTGCCCAAGGCCAGCGGAATTCCGAGGGGGCACCTCTTACCTCTGTTTCTGTCATTTCTGCCACAATCTCATCTTCTTTGAAAACTCGGATATCAAAATCCTCAGATCCCACAAGAAGCTTAAAAAACAAACCATCATGCACATTTAGTTCAGCAAGTGAACATGGAACAATTTCCACAAATAAAGCAAAACATTGCATAATGTTTTGTGTGTCGCTGCTGCTACCCAGGACTTCCAAAGTCCCAGCAGCCCAGTGCTCAGGAAGGTCCCCTCTAGTGCAAAGGCCAACACCTTCGGTCAGCGACGAGACAGTGGTCCTGAGACCTTCTCCTGCCACGTGGGCCGCACGTCCCGCCAGGGCGTGCCCCCCAGCACGTACCTGAAGATGCCCCCTGGCTCAGCCCCTCTCTGCCTGCAGACGGAGCCCCATTTCAAATGCCAGGGCCCCATGTCCATGGACAAGGAGGGCCAAGTCGCCACCCAACACCGCACACCACTGGCTGCTCAAGAAGCTGATTTCTGGAGTAACCGTGAGAATCATTTCAAAGGCTAAGAGTCAGTCTCCAGAACTTCTACATTCTGGAAAAACTGGGCCAATATGGAAAACTATTTACTGATATGGTTCAAAGGCACCAGGAGCAAGTTCTAAGATTGCAACAATGACCCAGGTCCCATCAACTGTCCCGCCCTCCCTCCCACCCTGTCCTTTGTCTTTGAAACATCACGGCCTCGATCTTTGGATTAGACAAAGGGATTTACTGTTCAAAAGAGAGAAGAGACACAAATGAGGCCAGTCAGCTCGTTATTTAGGCAACAGAGCGCCAACGGCAACCATGAGAAGCTGACACTTCTCCCACAGCAAAGTCATTGTCACTGGCAAGTATATTCAGCTGAACACAAGGAGGAGAATCTCCTCCCCCACGTACCTCCTTTTTCCCATCACTGTCAAAGTCACACAAGGCCAGGGAATGCACGTTATCTCCAGTAACCTGAAAAGAAAACCCAGTAGCACGAATGTATCCTCTCTTCTCACTTAATCTGACTACAACAGCTACATGAAAGAGAAGCTTACACAAACCACTAACAGGTGGTATTCGAATTTGGCATATCTTTTTTTCACATGTACAGAATTATAAATATGGTCCCATTTTGGGTTCCCTTATTCAATACAGTCAATGGCAAAAACAAAACAAACATAAATAAAGAACATTAAGAGTAAAAATGCTCAAGAGCACTGAAGGGAGAGCTTTGTTCTCCATACCGTCCAGAAGAGATCATTTCCTTCACGATCGAAACCCTGCAGCATGCAGTTCCCTCCAATAATCGCAAGAGGAGAGGAGATGTCTCCCAGCGTCCCCAACACAATTGCATTGGCCCCATCAGCCACCTAAGAAGGAAAAAGATATAAAATCTCAGATATTAAGGATGCACAGGCACACCAGAGGTAATACATATCCTTATCTTCACCTGGCTACTCAAATTCCTCTGTCGTCATTTGTGAGAAGCTACACGGTCCCCTGGGAGGCAGGCCGGGGCTGTGCCCCGAGGACAGTCACTGTGGCGGAAGTGTGCTGACGCAAGCAGGGACCCTCGGGCCCCGGGCGACGCACGCTAATCTGCTACAATAAACTGCTACGAAGTCCAAGGCTCTCTAGGATATTTGACCAGATATTGTTCTAGATGTTTCTATGAAGGTATTTTTCAGATGAGACTAACATTTAAATCAGCGGCTTTTGAATGAAGCAGATCACCCTCTATAATGTGGGTGGGCCTCGTCCAATCAGTTGAATAGAAAAAAGACTATTCCCTAAGGAAGGGAGAATTCTGCCACCAGGTGGCCTTTGGACTTGAATTTCAACATCCACTCTTCCCTGGGTCTCCAGCCTGCTGGCTGACCCTGCAAATGTTGGACTTGCTGTCTCCACAACCGGGTGCACGGAGTCTTTAAAACATACCCCCCCCCCCCGACTCCTCTCTCTCTATACATATCCTGTTACTTCTCTTTATCTGGAGAACGCGGACTAATCCAGGCCTCCACTCAATTCCAGTCTTGTACAAAAACATGGGAAGCGTGTCTACATGACCAAAGATTTCTTAGAAGGGCAGGAAAAGCACTACCATTAAAGCAAAAAATTGATCAGCTGGACTTCATCAAAATCAAAAACTTTTGCTCATCCAAAGACTCCCAGCTGTTGGAAGAAGCTGCATGCTGGGAGGAAATATTTGTCACATATAAATCTGACAAAGAACTTGTACCCAGCACATCCAAAGAACACCTACAAATCCATGATACACAAACTACCAATAACTAAATAGGCGAAAAGACTCAAATGCTTCTCGGAAGACATGTGGATGGGCAGTAAGCCCAGGGGAAGATGTCCCACATCACTGTTTACGAGGAAGAAACAAAATGAAACCGGTTAGCAACCGTGACCAGATGAATTAAGTGCCAAGGAGATGAAGCAGAGGCAAACGACAAAATTACCGTGTTGTACAGCAGCCACACCATAAACCAGAACAAATGTCTGATCTCTTGCGGGCACAACAAAAATGAGTAGGAACGGATAACGGGAATCTGAGGGTGTACTTGCCTCTTTGTAGAAAAGATCTGAATTATTGTAGACGTCGTAAGCCAAGAGATTAGTCTGTGTCCCCACTAAAAGAGTATCGTAGCCAAGTTCAGGGTTCAGCACTCCTGCAGTCAGGCAGCTGACGGCCTGATTGATGTTGAGAAGGGAAACGTCAGACTCCAGGGGGCTCTGGAGGACCCTGGGCGCCCTGAAGTGCTGGCTCCGCGTATGAGGATTGTGAATAAAAACCTAAAACAGAAAGAGTTCATTACATTCCCTTAAAATACTAAAAATGTACAATTAACATGCATTTTTAAAAAGACTCAGGTTATTAACAGATATAAACATTAACAAGAAGTCACTTTCATCGCCTATAATACTTACTTATAAACCCTACCACAGTTCTGTGCATGGCTGGCTTTCAACCATTATGAACTGTGGCAATCAGTGGTTCTCGGCCTTGGAAAGAACAAGGTAACGGTCAAGGTCGAGTTATTGCTTATCAGGGCCGCTTACGTGCTACCCACCAACAGATCGTCAAAGCACTCTAACCAACCAGCCTTTGTCCGATCAACGTGCAGAATAAACAATGAATTTGTTTCGGGCATGTGTCAGTGCTGCTTTTCTTTTTCTTTTCTTTTTTTTTTTATTGTCGGTCAAGTACAGTTTTCTGCCTTTTCCCCCCACCCCAGCCCAACACCCCAGGGTCAGTGCTTCTGAAAAATAACAACGGACATCATTAGGTGCCAGAGCCTGTGCTAAACCCTTTGCTCCACTAAACCACTCAATGAAAATGAATCATTTACTTTATAATTATGTATACCAAGTCATATCCTGAATAACATCCAACACAGGCAGAAGTGCTTTGAAAATGATAAATCATTACATAAATGTTTTATTCATTACTACATCCACCCTGGGTCAGAGAACACGGACTCTAATCTCATTCCCACGACTCTCTAGCTGAGTGACCTCACGTATTTACTTTGAACCTCTCTGAGCCACTAGGCAGAAAAGTGGGAGTCATAAAAAAAATAACAGCTAACAATTAGTGACCATTTCTTATATGCCAGGTGCTTCATATGTATTAATTCATTTAGTGCTCATAACAACCCTGTGAGACAGATATTATTATTAAGCACCTTGCCCAAGGTCATGAAATTAGTAGGTACTGGAGCCAGGATCCAACACACCTGTGCTATGCTGCTGCCCTTGGCTTTGTTGCAAGAATGCTGAGATAATTAAGTAATAATAAGGCTTCGTAACTGTTTGAGCTATGTGCTTGCTGTCACTGTATCCCATGTATTTGGGGCAAGCCTCCATCAACATACAGTGACTAGATTTGCTTTGTCTGTTGTCCTTGGTATTATAAGCTTCCAGAAAGCAGGGACTCCAGCTTTATCTCTGAATCAACATCTGACGCAGAGGAGGGGACAGAGGAGGGGTCCAGTAGAAGCCTGGTGACTGTTCAGTGACCAGTCTCTCTCCTTGCACAGCACCCACGCACGGTGAACACCTAGCAGGTACTTAGTGAGAAAGTTATGGGAAAAGACGTAAATGGGCCTGGATACAGATCTAAAGTGCGATCTGAATCATTTCATTTGGGGATCTTTGTATTCTTGTATGTTTTCATCAAGTTGTTTGGCTGGAGGCAGTCTGAGATAGTGGAAGGCCTGGGGTGGAATCTGAGGTCTGTCGCCACTGCTGACCCCACCCGCCCCTTCCCCCTTCCGTGGGCTTCTCTTTCCTAAGCTCCTTATCTGCACAGCGACTCCAACAACGTCCGAGTCTAAGTGCCTGAAGGCAAAGTTAACTGCTCAGAAAAACCATTCACGCGAGACTCTTTATTCATTATTTTGCTCAGGATTGACAACTACTGAGAGAAGGCCGACCGGTTGCCGGGCAACCCTGGCTGGGGGCGGGGTCGGAGGTTGAGGGGCGGGGCCGCACGGTAACGTCCCGCGGAGTACTGGGACTTGCAGGGGCCCCGGCTCGGGTGCAGGTGGGAGCGGTTACCTTGCCCGCTTGGGTGGCGGCCGCCAGGCACGGGTGCGTCCCGTCGTAGCGCCCTACAGCCACCATGCGGGGGTTGATTTTGTGGCGCAGTTTCAGGGTGAACACGGGCAGCAGCATGTTGGCGGCGGCTGTGGGGAGGACGGCTGGTGGCCCAAGGCCGGCGCAGCGGAGCCGGTCTCACCCGCTGCAGTGAAGGGTGCAGGGATCGGACCAACCCCCCTCGCTAGGCCCAAGCTTGAAGCGACGAGGCGCGCGTCCCAGGTGCCCCACCCCCGGGTCGCCAGCTACTTCTGCAGTTGCGCAGGCCCGCCCAGCTGCTTCTGCGGCTGCGCAGGCTCCCGCGGCTGCGCCAGCGAGCCTCTCCCGGGACACCTTGATGTCGGTTTCCTCTCGGTGATGGGGTTCCTTGCTTTGCGGCTGTAACTTATCCGTCTTATTTTCCATTCCACTGACGTGTCTACAGTGGCCGTGCCTGAAGCAGCGCACCCCCGGGGCTTCTCCATCTAGCACTGCAACAGAGGACGCCCACTGCCACCCCACTCCCAAGAGCCAGTAGTTAAAGAAATGTCCTGCCCGTAACAGCTTTTAGCTGTTACGTTGATGCAAACCACAGTAGTTACCTGCACTAAGTGTACCACTCCTCTCCCAAAAAACAAATCACGCTTTAGATGCCCAAGTATAAGCAGTCCACCGCCCCTTGTAAGAGTCCCTATGCATGTTTAAATGCAGATACGCAAAATTGAAAAGTCATGAAACTTCTCAAAGTTCATTTAAACATTTTTGAGGGCCAACGATGTGTTAAGCGCTGTTCTATTTTGCTTTGTTTTGTTTTCTTTTGTATTTGTTGTTTCCAGTCGGGCACTGTCCCAGACGATAGGGATATGGCGGTGGCATACTAGTTCACTGCTCCTCTGGAGCGGACATGCTAGTCCGCTGGGACAAGCACTAAAGAAATACATGGAGGAGGTCATTTGGTGGTAAGCACTGTCCAAGAAACAACAGGCCCAGCGTGGAGTCCTTTGCACCCAGGACAGCAAACCAAGACTTCGTTACAGTTTCAGCCGCTGGCAGGGAAGGGACCTTAAACCACATAGTCTGGAATTTCCCGATCAACAAGAGGGAGCTGATCTGCCTAATAAGATCCCTGCTGCCCCTTCCACAAAGAATGGTGTCCTAGCCTGGAACAATCCTTTCTTTCAAGCCTGTTGGTTTGTCTGTGACTAGCACTGATCACAGTTGGGGACATGGTGGCTGTCCTCTGAGGAGGAGGAGGGGACGACGGCCAGGAGGGACTGGCCAGAGCTGACCCTCTCCCGACCACCAGTCTGAGAGTCTTCTCTATCTCCCATGTCCCACCTGGCTCTTCAAAAAAGACACCTGCCATCTCCATTCCAGTGACAGCTGAGGTTCTTGACAGCCCAGGACTTGTTGGGGGCGGGGGTGGTTGCTGGTGGGCTGCAGGTGGACAGCTCTGCGTGGTGGATAAGCCCACAGGCCTTGATGGCACACAGACCTGGGTTCAATTCCATATCTGTCAGTCACTCACTGACACTTGGGCCCATCATTTAATCCTAATGCTCCCATTTAGTGAGCACCTTCTCTGTGCCAGGCGCTTGACGCACGCTAACTCATTCGGTCCTCACAGCCACCCGTGGGGGGAGGGGAGCCCTGTCATCGTGCCCATGCTACAAGAGAGAAAACTGAGTCACGAGAGGTTACATAACATAAACCCAAGGCCACACAGCTGGTAAGTGGCAGAACCAGGATGACAAGCAGACCCAGAGGGTCTCCTGGGCTGCTAACCGCTGTGCATACTGTGTCCGGCCGTGAACTTCCCAATCACCAGCGTTGTCTTCTGGAAAAAGAAAAGCAGTTGTTGTGTGTATTGAACAAACTAATATAAATAAGGCACTTAAAGCTATGCTGGCACTTAGTAAGAACAGCCTTTGACATGTTGGGATTGCTGTTGTAATAAATCTAGCGACTTTCTTTCCTTCCGTCCTTCTGTCCTTCCTTACTTCCTTACTTTCGCAGGCCCATTGTTGCAGGCTCCCTCTCAGCCCTGGGGTGGGAAAGACCAACCCAGCGAATCAAGGTGTGGTGGGTATCAGGTGAGCTCAAGAACTGCTCGCCTCTCTCTCGCCTTGTCCTCATTTTGCATATGCAAAGCACCCCCACTAGAGGGTGTGCAGGTGTAAAGAATGGAGGTTAAAGCACCTTAGGACACCAGACGAAAGGCCTGGAGGAGATGGGGTGAGAAGGCCTCCTGAGAAAGAAGGCCTCCACACTCTCGAGGGCTGACGTCTGGGAAGGGGCCGGGCCAGGGCGTCCAGCTGGAGCAGGTCTTTTGCAAGAAGTTACCATTGGGAGAAACCAAGTAAAGGTTCATGAGCTCGCTCCGTGTTATTTCTTATAACTGCATGTGAATCTAGACTTATCTCAAAATAAGTTGAATTTTTTTAAAATTCAAAGGAAAGAGCGGAGGAGGATCAGCACGAAAGGCACCTTGAAGAATACAGAAAGGACGCGTAACTATGCAAGCACCATGCCGGGGCCAGGGAGAATCAGTGTGACTGCTCCAGGGACCTGCGTGGCTCTCACCCCACTTTGTCAGTCTCTAAAAGTGGCAGAGCAAAATTTGCACATCAGGGTGCTTTCTCGGTACAAGGTCTCAGGAATCACACCCACAGAATCACAGCAAAGACAATCGTATCAGAGACCAAAATGAAGGATGCACCAGGGTAGCACCCTGCCTTGTGCTGGTTTGTTAAAGGACTAGGGCAGCGATTTTCAACCCGGGTGCCACATGAATTTTTAAAACGTGCCATACCTGACCGTTTAACCACAGGATCCAGAGTGACGTCACCAGTGCTGAGTCATGCTGTCATGCGGGGCACCTCACCTTGAGGTGATCTTCCCCAGAACCCATCAGCCCTGGCTAATCACGAGAAAACCTCAAATAAGCCCAAAACGAGGAATATTTTACAAAATGCCTGATGACTGACTACTCCTCGAAACTGCCAAGATCCTGCAAAACAAGGAAAAACTGGGAAACTGCCACAGAGTGGGAGAGACTGAGGAGGCGCGATTAGTGAGCTCAGTGTGGATCGGATCTGGGGAAAGAAAAAGGGCATTCGTGAGTGAATTGGTGACACCCAATTCGAGTCCTAGTTTGGTTGGTAATACAGTACCAGCGTTCATTTCTCTGTCCCGAAGTTACGTGCGATGGTAATGCTGGAGGAAGCTGGAGGAAGACTCTAGGGGTTGGGGTGGTGACTGGAGGAAGGAATGACTATAAAGGGGCAAGAGGGTGCTTGCCCCTTTTTGGGGTGCTATGAATGGCACATATTTAGCATGAGGTGGTGTTGACTTCTCCCCGCTGAGAAGTTCCACATAGGTCAGGTGGCTTTGCGCCACTGAGTGTCAGGAAGTGGCACCCCTTTCTTTTCCTTGTTTGGTGCTCCGACACCCACGAGACCGTGCTTGAGATTCGGGGCAGGGTCCTGAGCACGATTCACGATTCTGGGCGAGCCAGAGGCTCTGAAGGTTACATTCAAAGACTCTCTAGGAAAGTAAAGGAAAGATTTGGTCCAGCACGATTCAAACAGCACAACACCTTGCACACCGTTCACTCAAAGGAACACGTCTGGACTCATTTTTGTTGACGTACTTCTTTCCGACCCTCTCTGGCTTTAGGCATAAGCTTCTGATTTTGAAATGCCTATATAACTTACATAAGTGGTGATTCTTTACATTTACAGATACACTCTCCTTAATCTTTTTGTCATTATGATCGTTGGGAAAACACTCCTCCCGCTTTGATCTCCACCTGCCCAGCCCAAAGTGGCACTGACGGGAAGGTGTGACCAGAGGTGTGCTGACAACGACCAGCCAGCTGTCTCCAGGTGAGGGAGACCCGAGAGTCTTTGGATGCCTTCAGATTAGAGGAGGCCACAGCGGGATGCGGCCAGCCCACACCCAAGGAGCGGAGGAACGGACTCGCGGCCCAGCCCGCTGCCAGGGTTCAGATCAAAGGTGATGCATGGAGTGTGCTCCAGTTTCCGAGGAGGGTGCTCTTTACAGCCCCCTGGAGCCATGCCCGGGTGTGGGCAGCATCAGACGCTGGCTGAGGCTTGACTCAGCGTCGGGAGCTACCTCTTCGGGCAGGAAGCCAACCTCTGCGGCCCCTGCTCTGGAAGGCCTGAGATTCCCTGCCTTCGCACGAACTCCCCTGGCTGAACGCAGCGTGCGGCCCGGCAGACCCGAGCGTCACGGTCACGTCTGCAAGGGGCAGAGCAGGCTCAGGGAGGCTCCACGTTCCACGTCCACGGTCAGGGCGCTTCCAAGCAGGAAGGGGCCGGAGAGGCCACCAGCCGGGGCTGCTTTTTGTTGTATCCTTGCTGTCCTGGTTTTGGGTTTGTATTTTATTTTCACTCGCCCACCCTAACCTCTGTAACCCAATACGTCTTCTTAAAATATTTAATGTATTTATTATTTGCATAGGTAATACTTTGATATCAACCAAATTAAAAGGTGTGGAAGTGGCCCTGGCCAGTGTGGCTCTGTTGGGGCTTCGACCTTTAACCAAAAAGGTTGTGGGTTTGATTCCCAGTCAGAGCAAAAGCCTGGGGTGCAGGTTCGATCCCCATCCAGGCACGTAAAGGAGGCAACCAATGGATCTTTCTCTCTCCCATTGATGTTTCTCTCTGTGACCTTCTCTCCCTCTTCCCCTCCCTTTAAAAACAATGAAAACACGTCCTCGGGTAAGTGTGAATAAATAAGTAAAGGTATGAAAGCATACACACACAGATGTGGAGAAATCGGAACCAGTGTGCACTGTGGGCGGGAGTGTAAACTGAACCAGGCACTATGGAAAACAACACGGGAGTTCCTCGGAAATCAAGCACGGGACTACCAAAGCATCGAGCGAGTCCGCTCCTGGGTGTAGACTCACAGGCCATAAACCTGCTGCCCGGAAGAGACAGCCAGACCCGTGCTCACCACAGATGCTTGTAACCAATATTCGTAACGCAGTGATGCCCAATGGCTAAAAGGTGGCAACAACCCAGGGTCCATCGATGGGTGAATATTATATACACATATTCCTGTGCTCAGAAGGAAGTCGCCCTCCCACCCTGTCCTTGTCACCAAGCTCCTTTCCCCAGAGAAGCCCCTGAGCCCAGTTCCCTGGGTCTCTCCGGAAGGCGAACCGTGATTCCGCAGGTCAAGCCTCTCTTCCTGTGCAAACCCTTCTCCCCAGCTCGTGTTT